TGAGAGCAAAATCTTGGGCTCGGAGCTCGGCGTGATGGGTGTTCACTTCAATCACTAGGTCACCCCAATACACAAAGTTTAAGTGGTGAGTGAGTGAGTATGTTTATGCCCCTTTTAGCAATATTCCAGCAACATCACAGCTGAGGGACACCAGAAAATGGAAGTTTACGTAACCTAATAAAGTCAAAACATGAACAGTTTGACATCACTGACCAATAATAACTACTAGATCATTCCAAACAAGGTTGGTTGGTTGGTTTGTTGTTTTACACCGCACTCAGCAATATTCCAGCTATATGACGGTGGTCTGTAAATAATCGAGTCTGGACCAGACAATCCAGTGATTGATATCATGAGCATCGTACCATGCAAATGGGATCGATGACGTGCTCAAAACAAGGTGAGGTGAGGTGAAATGGGGTTTAACGTCGCGTCCAAGATTATTGCACTTATATAGCGACGTGCATGTACGTGTGTGTGTTTGTGTGGCTGCTTATACTAGTCCGGACTGATGCCGATTTATAGTGCTAGATCACTGAGATACCATGACGCAGTTTAACATGAATACCCCACTCAGACACAGTATACTGACTCCGAGCCGACCAGTCCTTGTTTTAGCCCCTTAATGCCGAGCGCCAGACAGGGTAACAACAAGTATCATCTTTTAACGTCTTTTGGTATGACGCGGTTGGGGATCGAACCCCGGACCTTCCGCTCTCCGGGCGGACGCTCTACCACTAGACCACGGAGGCAGTTCAAAACACGAGTGGAGTGGAGTGGAGTGGAGTGAGTGAGTGAATGGAGTTTTACACCTTGGTGCTCTCTACTTGAGCAACATCACGTAACAGTGGACACAGGTAATAGGTTTCGTACCCATGAAGATCCAGGTTAGAATAGGTCTTCAGACACCCATGCTTGCCGTAAAAAGGTGACTATGCTTGTCGTAAGAGGTGACTAACGGGATCAGTGGTGACCCTCTCTAACTTGGTTGATGCATGTCTTCGGATCCCAATTGCGTGGATCGATGCTCATGATGGTAATCACTGTATTGTCTGGTCAAGACTCGGTTATTTACAGACTGCCGTCATATTGCTGGAATATTGCTGAGTGTGGCGTTAAACAACACACATTGCACCCATTGGGGGAACTGAATCCAGGTCATGGGTGTGACAAGAAAACCAGTAACTGCTACCCTACCCAACCACCTTCACCGGAATGAGGATGAATGAAGCTGAGGAAAAAGACATCTCGTGAGAGTCACATGACAAGTTAAAGTACAGGTTCTAGGCAACCGAAAGGCATTCTCCATGAAAGCATTGTGATCAGTACCTGTCATGTCTTCACTTCCTGAGAGTGAGTTTGGTTCTACACTGCTTTCATGGACTTCACATACCAATGATTTAACCACTCAGTTACCATGGTTACCCCATGTGAAAAATTAACACTAAACAACCGCTTGGTTTTAGGATCAAAACCAAATATATATTTCAATTAAAACTATGAATAATTTATTTTTTTCATTTTTAGAACACATAGTAACAATGTAATTTCTGTGGCAGACAATTTTATCCCCCCCCCCCCCCCCCCCCCCAACAATATGAAGAATAAATATTTTGGGTAAACTCCTAGCCCCTCGCCCTCCCCCAAATGGTCGGCCCCTTTCCTTCAAAATATTTTTCAATTGGCTGTTACATTTAGGAATGACAGGAACACAGCTTCACTACAGAACACGGGCCCTCGTCAGCTACTTAGTTCTTCTCTCAGTATCAACCATCCTCACATCCTGAAAATAGGCATTAGACACACACACACACACACACACTCGAGTCGTTTCACCACATTACAGTTCTTGTCTAAGAAATAAACTAGATCCCTTAATAGTTACACTTTTCAAAAGCACTAAATTATTTCACAATAGTATAGTCAGCAGTGATTTTGCAAGGGACAAATTGCATTAGGGCATTTCATGATGCTTCTATATCATCACATTTACAAAACTTGTACAAAATATTAAGTAGGTCTTGGATGAAAATGTCAAAGAGAATGAACCAATCTGAAACCCTGTCAGCGACCAATTACATTATATACTTTCCAAATGAAAATAAGTACCACCTGATTCTTTCATATCACTATAGTTAATCTGTTATGGCAATTAGGTGGTCCTTAACTTCTTTTGAGTAGTATAAGAATTTATGAAACACATCCCAATAAATTATCAGTATGACATTCTTTTATCAAACCAGGGAGGCAACCTGTGATCACCCCATACATCAAGCATATAACTGAAACTTCAGTAATGAGGGTTTATGAGAGCGTCAAATGTTTTTCTACTTAACTTTTTTTTTTAAATTTCCCCCAATGTAAACAAGTTTGGCATTCTTTTGCAGTGACTAAGATTGTATATGCTTCAACTTGAAATGTAAACTTAACATGCTAAACAATTAGCAACTTTTATTTCTACATATTTAAGTCTTATATTAGAGATTGAATTCAGTTAGCAAAGAAGTTAACAATGGTTAAATGCATTGATATCCATATTGTCAGATGAAAATCAGCTTTGTGAAACAGTACCATAATTTCTGTTTGTTTCTTCAACCACATCGACGGAAGTATGTCTAAGAATTTAAGAAACTAAGCCTTTAATATAATAATAAACTTTTGACATGCTCCCTAATTGTTACCAGGTGAGTATTAACAGCCAAAGAGTCAGAAATAGCCGAGACACAAAACACTGGCAGGAGTTTACGCGACACACAAATGTGGAGAACCCCACTCTTGTAAGTCATGGTAAAATCCTACACTGGGGAGGAAATCAAGAACAGTATTCCATACAAGTACTCAAAGGTGTTGAGTTATCTCATCAACTTATTACATGTCATCAAAATTGTTTAAATATCTTCATCAATGTTTAGTTGAAATGACATCAACATCATATCCCTTGAATGAACACCCTTCAACAAGTTGCAATACCTTTAGATAAACTCAAGGAATTTAAACATAACTGCAGTTTCAAATCCTGTTTTAGAAAGATTATGTATTAAAAGGGAAATTATGTTTAATGCTAATTTATCCCAAGTTGTGAGCAAGTTTGGTTTAACACTGCTTTAAACAGTAATCCAGTTATATCACGGTGTCAGCTTAATGTGGGAAGAAAGCCCGAAGTGATGAAGGTCTCAGACGTTTACCACTTCGGTGAAACTCATCATCCTGGGTACGGTGCTGACAAACCTAGAAACATAATCGGGATGAAGGAGGATTCGAACCCACAATTATAGGCTGCTGGTATGCCATAGGGACGCACCTCTGCACAGCGAATTACGAGGCCTTAGACATTCAACAGAAACCTGTTCTTATTCAACAGGTGGCAGATTCAGCCTACTGATCCAAAACTCTAGCAACAATCTCGACTCATTTTTTAAATTACCAATAATACTTAATGAATTTAGGCATTTTTCAGAAAACATAACCAGTTGCTCTGCGGTGAAAAATCACAGACTCAAGTAGGTAATATTCAATAATGACCATATTTTCTTTTTGAAATTTCAAAACATGTAACTTCATGCAGTTCCCAACTCACTGTATCGGGCCTACAGAACAATACAGCCTACTGTTCAACCAACCGAGCAATGTTGTTTCCTGTTTCTTTAACAATTGTTACGTTATATACCTATTAACCCCAAGCTTTCATGTGCATTGCATGTCATGGGTATTTATTACACAGCTAACTGGGCCTGCTTGGTCATTGGACCGCTACATTTGTCTAAAGGTATTGGGATCTGGAGTTGCCCATTCATTGTCTTTCTTGTGCAAATAATAAATGTACCCTGCCAGACACTGCCTTAGGCATATCACGTTTACTTAGGCTGTATCTATTTTTAGACAGCATGTGAATCTACCTAAGATCAATGATGTACCAAATGAAAGTCATGCTACCAGTTTGAGAGACAAAACACAAAAAGCAATTTTCATGAAATTAACTTGTGATGTAATACTATTTCAATAAATTCCTGATTTAATATTCACTGGCTCAATGCCTGCTGCATCATATATTGATCATTATTTGTCAATATGAATAATCAACAGTCTGGTAAAACACAGTATAACACTTTCTTCACTGATATTCCTATTCAAGTTTTACCAATAGAAGCCCAAACTGAGTGCATGTACCCAAACAGTGAACAGGTATTCAAATTATTATAATAAATAATGTCAACTTGGCAGCTAAGTAGTTCATCCACAACCACAATATTGATTATTTCTACTTCTGCTATTTAATAAATGTTCCAGTGGTTTATTTGATCAATCAAATTTGATTAAGGCAATTCCCTTCCTTGATAGACCTAAACTACACTAATATTTTTTACTAAAAGTATTGCTTCTCCTCACTGATATCAATTAATATAAGAGCCCAGTACTAAACCGGTGTGTACATAATGCGCCAGCTGACAGAGTGGGAGGGGCAGATTTCAAGACTTACTGTACAGTCAGTAGTCCTCAGTGAGCCAGCGACAGAGGCGGTAATTCCAAGTCGGTCTACTCTCTGAGATGTCAACTCTCAATGTGTCGCCAATACAACCAGGCTGAGCAGAATTCTCAGGTCTGTCGGCAATCCACGACCCGACCTCGAAAGCACGTTTCGTTTAATGCACGCATCGAGCCATGATCTGAAATCTGCCCGAACAGGCTAGCCTAGATAACGTGCCTTGCACTTCCAGCCGCTCGCGAGCCGTGCTTGCACATGCTACGTGCTCTCGACGTGAGTCGATTCGCGCTGAGCTCAAAATAGACAGGTTTTAGAGAAATGCAGCGGCAAGAAAACTGCTTACTTATGCAGTCATTAGTCTCTGAGGTATTCACAAAGTCACGCATATATCCCTGGAATGTGTCACGCTGCCATCACGTCACGCGCGCACGCGTAATGGAGTGCATGCATGCTAAAATAGTTCACGCCCAACTGGTTAAGTCGGTGGTTGACATAAATAAACACAAAATACACTTACTTGAGATGTGTTGAGGCTTCGATTGTTTTCTCCTCGACATCTTAGACATATCAGCTTTAGTACTGCATCAATGTTGTTTGTAAACAAAACCGTTTTCCGGAGCATAAACATTGAAATGTGTGAGGCCCCAGACTTCCCGTTCCTTCTCCCTCCATGTTGAGCGCTGAATGCTGGGATAGGCACGTGCTGTGTGCGCGAGGTGAGTTCGCTTTGCGTGAGAACGTGCAAAGAGGAAACTGACATCGTGTCAATAGCAGAGAGCTCGCAGTCAGTGCGTGGACGAGGAAAGACGAAATGAGCGACAGACCAACCGAGGATATTTTAGGGTATGTTAGATTTATGTTTGTCGTTGAACGTGAAAGAAAATGCAATCAACGTGCAACAATACGTCCAGTGTCGAGGTGGGTAACATATGCTGTGACCTGGATTTACATGACAGGGTATATTCGCCACCATTGGCAATGTTTACCGGTGTGGGTCCACGGTCGGCTCCACGTGCTGACGTAAATCGGGAAGGATGTGTATATGGGTTGTTGTATTTTATTGATTTTTGTCATCATGACTGATTGACTGCGAATTTGGACAAGGACCCTCGTGACTTAGGTTCCAGGGAGCACCTTAACATGTTAATGCCAAATCACCAAGTTGATGACAACGTCTTTAATATTGGGACCTGTTGACAAAATGTTCTTGGGGGTTTTTTTATGGCAAGACATGTAGGCTAATTATAATAGTTGTGATTTCCATTGTTTTCGTTGCATGAGAAATTCTTTTTTTCATTTATTTTTTCCTTCAATTTATCGGCATAACAGCTTAATAATTGAAGTTGATAAAAGCATTTGAAAGAAAATCTGATGCAATGTTTTGTCATTTGTTCTACTCTATTGCTTGACTAGTCATGTTTATCGCAGTATATATGAGGCTCAAGAGGAGTGCCCTCACAGTGATTGAGTGAGGCTATACCTTGTTACACTGCTCTGGATATACTTTCATCATCTAATCACAAATGTATAAGTTTGATGAGGACATGATGCAATGATGTGAAAGCCATCATAAATAAAACATTACACACCACAGGAAGTTCATTTCATTACAGAAGAGTGTATAGAACAGTGGCACCTTGTATTGTGTACCATGTCTAGGTAAGAACACAAACATTGTCAACCAAATAATTTAGATATGTATAAAGTTTAACTTCAAAACTAAATTACAACTGTTAATCATATTATTTGTGTCCTTCTTTTTATAGCATATTTTTGTGTAATTTCACTAACCAAGATGTAAATGAACACTTGGTTACATTACATACGACCCGTGAAGATCTGGGGTAGAACAGGTCTTCAGCAACCCGTGCTTGTCGTAAAAGGTGACTATGCTTGTCGTAAGAGGTGACTAACGGGAATCGGGTGGTTAGGCTCGCTGACTTCGTTGATGCATGTCATCGTATCCCAATTGCTTGGGTCAATGCTCATGATGTCAATCACTGGATTGTCTGGTCCAGACTTGATTATTTACAGACCGCCGTCATATTGGTGGAATATTGCTGAGTGTGGTATTAAACAAACAAATCATTACATACATAACTAAATCAAAGTTAGTCTTAATCATGTTAATTGACAACTGATAATTCAGGTCGAAATAACATCAACACTCGATGCTGAAACAATGTAGGTTAAACATGTTTTCACAGGTAGAATTGGTTACATTGATTTGAGGTTGATCAATGTCGCAACCAGGGATTTAACCATGATTCAATGTTTTGTGTCTTCTGGAAAGTGATGAAGCAAGCACACAGGTCTATGTACGTGTTTCATATGTGCTTCAAAACATTGTTAGATAGGTTTTACATCTTCATGTGGTCATGCTTGACTGATGAGTTGTTCGAACAAATTTGTAAAGTAGTAATATTTATACTGTTTCAGTAGAATTGATGCATGCCTCACAGAATGACTTATCTTTCTCAGCTTGTAAATATTTAACCAAACTTAAAGGGGAACTGTGCACCATGCTCTGGTGGATATTTCTAATTCTAGTCTGGATCCAGACATTGTAAATTGTGCTACCTTCAGGGGCGTGGCTAGGGAAGCCTAAAATGTAAACAAACATGTTGCATAACGCTCATCAAACAGAAAAGGCTCAATCAGGCCCGTACAATACAGGGCTTAGATCTGTATAAAACATGAATTAGTGCAACCGATTATTGATAAATGCAACCAACTATTTATTTTTAGATGTGCTAAGTGCATGTAAAATACCTTTGAAGTTCTGGGTAGAGTATACTTCTTCAGCAACCCATGCTTGTCCCCCATGAAGATCTGCGTAGATAATAGGTCTTCAGCAACCCATGCTTGCCGCTAGTGGCGACTATGCTTGTCGTAAGAGGCAACTAACAGTATCGGGTTGTCAGGCTCGCTGACTTGGTTGATGCATGTCATCGTATCCCAATTGTGTAGATCGATGCTCATGATGTCAATCACTGGATTGTCTGATCCAGACTTGATTATTTACGGACAGCCATCATTTTGCTGGAAAATAGCTGAATGTGGCATTCAACAACAAACAAAGCATGTAAATAAATTTCATTATTTGTGTCTGACTAACCCTTACTTGTCCACACAAGAAATATATTTAAACACACTCAGTACCTTCATTAAGCTCTAGGGGCGGTCGGGTAGCCTAGTGGTTAAAGCGTTCGCTCGCCACGCCGAAGACCGGGGTTCAATTCCCGACATGGGTACAATTTGTGAAGCCCATTTCTGGTGTCCCCCGCTGTGATACTGCTGGAATATTGCTAAAAGCGGCGTAAAACCATACTCACTCATCAAGCTCTATTGACCCTGCTACACCACTAATGGCTGTGTTGTGTAATTCATGACACAGTGGTCAGAGATCTGGGATAGTACTTATTTAGACTAGTTCATACATCAATATTTCAACTTTGATAAAGTTATGGGACCGGTGCCACCTGATTATGTCAGATGCACCTAGCGGTTTATGTTGACGTGCACCTGGTGCTAGTTAAATCAAGTTCCTTAAATCAAGCCCTGCAATATATCTAAAACAGAGATATCACAAAGGCATCCCAGCCACAATATGGACATACCAGAAATGTAAAACAGTTTGATTCAAGGATCATTGTGATCAAACCCAGATATCTGCTGAACTAATGCAACAGGCAGCAAACCACAACATCCACCCAACTCATCAACGGCAATCTGCACACTGGTAATCGTGATAGCGTGAAGTTTTCAATTTGAAAAAGTTATAGGTGTCACAAAGTTGAAAACGTCTTTATTGATGGAGTTGGTTTATCTCCATATTACCATGACACAATGACAAAACAAATGAATTGTTTGATAGGCATGACATAGAAGTTGACGGATGACAAAGTAGACACAAGTTATGGACAACAACGTCTTTATTTACAGTAAGGGCGACGTTTCAGTATAGATCCTTATCCCGTTGCCAAGCCTTGCTTGACAACTGTATAAGGATTTATACCGAAACGTATATAAAGAAGCTGTTATCCATAAATTGTGTCGACTTTGTCAATGTCAAAACAAACGGGACCTCTTTTGTCATAGCGGAAGTAATTAGTGATGTAGCTTCATTTGATAGGGAGAATCCAGTAATTGGTGAACATCGTGTTTCAGCTGCATATGTTTGCTTTATTCACCCCAACTATAATTTTCACTGGAGGCAGCCTTGTGGTTAGAGCATTCACCCCTCATGCCAAGCCCCGGGTTCGATTCCCAACATGGGTACAATGTGTGAAGCCATTTCTGGTGTAGCCCACCGTGATATTGCTGGAATATTGCGAAAAGTGGCCTAAAAGTATTCTCAATCACATACTAATTTTCACTCTAATACTTGAACCATTTTCCTGAGATACTATAAATTACTTTGGCAGATATATCAAACTGACATCCTTAGAGAAAATGAAGCAAGCACTGTGAGGTTTGGTTCAAAAGTACACGGCACAATTATGACGTCATCGTAAAGCTCTATAGATTGTATGTGTAAACAGTGTGACACGGTGGATGCGATGGTCAATGATTAGCAATGCAGAACATTGCGACGTCATTGGTAACCATGACAAATCAATCAAATGACATCACTAATGGCTCTGCTACTGAAGCTGTTAGCAGTACTTTTTACACGTAAGATCCTGCTTATTACTGTCTACAAACTGAAAAAGTCGGAAGAATGATGTTGGATGATAAATAAGATAAGACGTTCCATTGACAAGCCTCAAGAGTTTTTCGACTTTTATCAACGATTGTTGATATATTTGATATTAAAAGTCACGAGGGTGAGATTCTCTATTCCATTAAACTTTTCTGATAATGTCTTGCTCTTGTTGCAGTTGATTCTGAGCACACTGATGATTCTGAAAGGGCATTTGTGCTAATAAAATGACACTACAAAATTGATGCAAATTAAGAGAAATTTCATATCAACCATACCCTTGTTTAGATCAGATAAATAACTCAAATCTGTTGCTTCTGGGAGTAGAATCCACAGTTTCTCATGATTTCTCCATTACATGGTCCATCAGGTTGGTTCAGGAAGAAAAACAACATTATATTAGTCGAGAATTAAGAGCCGCACTTGAGGAGGAGTCACTGTCAGAGATCAACCAATCATCGATGGCAACGTGAAAGCAGTTTTTCCAATTTTTAAAGCAAAAACATTACATTGACATACAATGGTCAATCAACAACAAAAATTACATTTACAAGTCAAAGTACCGGTATGTTATTTATACAGTCTCTGAGTGAGGTTAGATTCTAGACTGCAATAGTGGTAACTCAGCGTTAGAAATTGGCACTAGTCCTGTAGTTCTTGCCAAACTGCTCAATAGTTAAGGTATCATAAGGACTAGTAGAAATTTGCCATTTTTAAGGCTTTTCCTATACGTTATAACTATAAGGACTAGTGGACCTACTATGTTAGTTTCTACCCCTGTATCTACTGGTGGGACGATGCATCGGTGGATCGCAATTTTTTACTTCTGAAAACAAGTATCGATCAGTCTCACACCAAGTAAAAAGTATCGATTCTTACCTTAAATGTTTTCTTGAATAAGTGTTACACCAAACACTAATTACTAGTGAAAATGAGGAGTGAAAATGTAAATATTTTCAGCCATTGCACCATACTTGACACTGCTACCTGTTAATCATGAGTGTGCCAGGTATTTGGCAATCCTGGCCTTGAAAAAGATGGCTTATGCACCACAGATAAGTGCACCATACCTGACATTGCTAACTGTTGATCATGAGTGTGCCAGGTATTTGGCAATCCTGGCCTTGAAAAAGATGGCTTACACACTACAGATAAGTGCACACGCAAGTATCGCGATAAGTTTCGGATCTTGAGCAAGGTATTGTGATACTTATCGGATTGCACCGTTGGTGTATCGTCCCAGCCCTAGTGATAACCTCGTGTCCAGGTAAGGTATGGCTGCATTTAACTCAGTAAGTTACACCTACTGACAAGGATGCAGGTATTGCTGCAGTTCACCATTATGGTTTAGTCGTCCAATGATAAGTAACGAAATCACTGTAGTTTCCATGCACTGTTTTGGAAGTATTTGACAAGTTCATACTTGTTCATACTTGTTCACCGTGTTGCCATCATGCACTGCCAGTGGTTCCTGGATGTCACACTGATCTTTGTGGGAGAGATTAGTTCCAACTAATTTACCTACAACTAGGATATGGCTCAGGTGGTATAAAGTGTTACCATGGTTACAGGGCCGATTGGTTCCAACCACCCTTGCTGATTGTATTAGATACAACTGTGAATAGGCTTAGATGGTATAAAGTGTTACCATGGTTACCAGGCAGACTTTGTGTCTGGGATCCAAAGTGGCCTGGCGTGTTGCTCATTCTGTCAACCACTAGGTTTACTTGATTTCAATTTGGCACCAATGATATTTCTGAAATATATGCAGTAAAACGTGAACTCATTTCAATGTAACCATGGCAACAGTCTTTTTTTTCTTTCTTTTAATGTGTATGGTACCATTTATGAACTGGTTATCATGGATACGTAAAAGGTCTACAAAAATCTTTATGAATTAACCAGTTTAGGAAAGGAAAAGTCTCTGAAATTCACTCTGCCAGCCAGCTCACTTCCTGTCAGTGTCCTTCAACTCACGACAAGGAACTCCCTACTTGCCGAAGGAGAAGAAAGCACTTCTCCATATTCACATAACAGCTAACCAACTTAGCATCACAATTAATCTTTCATTTGTGCATCAGTTACGTCAGAAACTCTTCTTGAGAGTTCGACCAGTGAAGATCTGGGGTAGAATAGCTCTCCAGCAACCAATGTTTGCAGTTAAAGGCGACTATGTTTGTCGTAAGAGGCAACTTACAGGATCAGGTGGTCAGTATAGTATTACAAGTTATCTTTCATTTGTGCATCAGTTATGTCAGAAACTCATCACTTCTTCTTGAGAGGTAGACCAGAGCTCCTAGTAATGATGACTGCCTTGTGTTATCCGCAGCCCCGATGGCAAGCCCCTGTCGAAGAAGGCCCTAAAGAAGCAGCAGAAGGATGCCGAAAAGGCCGTCAAGAAGGCCGCCCATAGACAGCAGGAGCAGACGCAGAACGTGAGTCCTGGCCCACTTACATTTAATGCAGGACAATGGTTTGGGACGATGGGATAGCCTCATGGTTAAAACTATCGCTTGTCGTGCTGAAGACCAGAGTTCAATTTCGCGCATGGTTACAGTGTGTGAAGACCATTTCTGGTGTCCCCCGCTGTGGTATTGCTGAAATATTGCTAAAGTGGGTGTAAAACCACATTCACTCACTCAGTCACTCACTCACTCAGTCACTCACTCACTCACTCACTCACTCACTCACTCAGTATAGTTTGGTTGTTGGTTTTGAGGAGAGGGGCAGTTGGGGTTGTTTGATTAAAACTGTATTATTTGATTTGTTGAGTGCATTCTTGGACATTCATATTGACATATGTACTGACCGACAAAAGAAATGTGAATACCATATATGTTGGTTAATATAGACTCAGCAACAAAAGTGTATTTTTCAAACAACATGTATGGAATCAAGCCACAAAAATGCAACTGCTACAGAAAAGCATGCATTGCATGCAAAAGTTGACTCTTATGCAAGCCCCATGCATTTCACTACCCAAGAATTGGTATAAAAACATGAGCCTTAACGAGCTTCCATATGCATTGTTAAGCATCGTGCTGACAACAACCACTTAGAAAAACAACAAAATTACGAATTATTCAACATTAAGAGACCATCCTCGGAGTGGTAGGCCACGCGTAACCAATATTTGACAAGACAACTGGATTCGAACAACACACCTACGAAATCGATTCCAGCCAGCAACAGTGACTGCAAGAAGCATCCCTGGCCTTCGAGGGATATCTTCACAAACCGCATGTCATCGCCTCAGATGTGCAGGGATTGTCGCAAGAAGACCTGCCAGACGTCCCATTTTGACAGGAAACCACCGCCAAGCACATCTACAGTGGTGCAGACAGCATCTACGCTGGACGGCCATGCGGTGGGGACAAGTTCTATTCACTGACGAGTCTCATTTTCACCACAGCGATGGACGGATTCGAGTGTACCGACGTCGAGGTGAACGTTACGTCAATCATTGTGTCATGGAAGAAGATCGTTTCGGGGGTGTCAGCGTTATGGTATTGGGTAGGATTACAGCAAGACAGAGAACCCGTTTGAATCTGGTAGAGGGAAATCTCAATGGACAGCGCTACCGAGACGAGATCATCGGCCCTGTTGTGCTACCGTTTTTGCGTCGTCATGGCCCAGGCATTACCTTTCAACATGATAACACCCGACCTCATATTGCCTGACTTATTCAGGATTCTCTTCAACAAAACAATGTGAATGTCATCCACGGCTCGCCCCACTGATCTCTCACCAATCATGTGGGATGAGATGGATCGGCGCCTTCAATGTCAACCACGTGTTCCACAGACGCTCCAGGAACTTCAAAACATGCTCCAGCAGATATGGACGGATATCCCACAGGACTTAGTGCGACGCCTGGTCCATTCCATGAGACGAAGATGTGTTGCTTGCATCGCAACCAGAGGTGGACACAGACGCTATTGATTTGTAAATTGAGATTTTGGCATGTTCAAGGTTTTTTTTATGAAATCATGCATTTTCTGAAGTCAGTATGGCAAATTAAACCATTTGAACACTTACAGGAGTCTTTTGTCTGTTGCAAACCGAAATTGTTTCATATTTGGTAAAAAACATAACTTTGCATTAAATCTTATTCAATGTCACAGGAACTTTTGTTGTTCAATATATATTCAATGGATATTATATTAGTTCAATACACAAACGAATGTACGGGTATGTTGTGTGAACTGACTGACGCTCAAGAACACATCACATGTGACATCATAGATCCAGGACTAGAGATGCACTCTTTGTCCCATGCAGGATTGGTGTGTAAAGTTTGGAAATCACATGCAACATATTGTGATAAGAATAAAGACACGCTGCGGTAACCCTTGACTGATAGTTAGTTAGATAGTTAGTTTTGTCCTCAATTGCATTGGAAACTTCTCTTCTTAACGGACATACTTCTCAAAATGTTTCTACGGTTTCGCGTTTCTTTTGGCGGTGAGTATATTTAAAATGTGCTGTTAACCCTGTAAAACATAACAATTTCCTCAACATTTTTATGCCCCGGAAAGTTGCCCTATTTGTCGCATGATTATCCACAATAGAATATTGTTGTGCTCTATTCGGCAGCCTCAGGCCGTGGAGCAGGAGAAGGAGGACTATGCCAAGGACCTGTACGGACAGGTCCGCATGATCCAGTCTCGTGACAAACCAGACAGGACGCTACTGAAAGTGTGTGAGTTGACCCCAGGCCTGGCCGACCAGAAGGTGTGGTTGAGAGGACGACTGTACACCAGTAGAAGTAAAGGTAAGAAACAGTTGCAGGTACATGGAAGTAGTACATGGAATATTGCAGGTAGTGAGAACGTGTTTCCTTGTGGTATGCCAAGCACCTTCTCCAGGTGGGCACATATTTCAATTCCTGGGTAAAATATGTGAAGCCCACTTCTGGTGTCCACCGCTGTGATATTACTGGAATATTGCTTAAAGCGGCGTAAAACCATACTCACTCACTCACTCACTCACTCACTCACTCACTCACTCACTCACTCACTCACTCACTCACACACTCACTCACTCACTCACTCACTCACTCACACACTCACTCACACACTCACTCACACACTCACATTGACAAGAAGAAGAATGGTTTTTAAGCTGTTTTGAAAGTATTTTATTTAATTGATATTCTCCTTCAAAGTTATGATTTTGTCAAACAGCCAGTTGGTTAAGCAGGGTACCTGTCTGTACAGCTGGTGAGGGTTGATAAATAATTGATACATGCAGCTAGAATCTAATCAATATGTCTGTACTGATCACTGAAGAATTGTGTGGGCGTGACGTAGCTAAATGCATTCTCAGTTATTTTTCTGATTCAACTAAATTCAAGGAAATGTCAGGATATTATTTGGTTCAATATGCGAAGAGAAAACTTTTTTCTTTTATACAAAAAAGAAAACTGGAAGAAAAAAACAAACAAACATATATGAATAGATAGATTTCAAGACACATGTAGCTAGCACTGCACACAGGCAACACATACATGAACACAATAGACTACGAGACACATGTAGCTAGCACTGCACACAGCAACACATACATGAACACAATAGACTACGAGACACATGTAGCTAGCACTGCACACAGGCAACACATACATGAACACAATAGACTACGAGACACATGTAGCTAGCACTGCACACAGGCAACACATACATGAACACAATAGACTACGAGACACATGTAGCTAGCACTGCACACAGGCAACACATACATGAACACAATAGACTACGAGACACATGTAGCTAGCACTGCACACAGGCAACACATACATGAACACAATAGACTACGAGACACATGTAGCTAGCACTGCACACAGGCAACACATACATGAACACAATAGACTACGAGACACATGTAGCTAGCACTGCACACAGGCAACACATACATGAACACAATAGACTACGAGACACATGTAGCTAGCACTGCACACAGGCAACACATACATGAACACAATAGACTACGAGACACATGTAGCTAGCACTGCACACAGGCAACACATACATGAACACAATAGACTACGAGACACATGTAGCTAGCACTGCACACAGGCAACACATACATGAACACAATAGACTACGAGACACATGTAGCTAGCACTGCACACAGGCAACACATACATGAACACAATAGACTACGAGACACATGTAGCTAGCACTGCACACAGGCAACACATACATGAACACAATAGACTACGAGACACATGTAGCTAGCACTGCACACAGGCAACACATACATGACATGGATACATTAAGAACAGAATAATAATTGCGGATGATTCTTATCCCCTCTCACAAAGTGGGGCGGTAGGGGGATATAGGAATGGAGCTTGTCCGTCCATCCAACTCTCAATGGGGACAAATCTTCTCAAAAGCCATGTAAGCTGAGAAATTAATTTTACACACTGATGTTACTTGTCACGATTTGAAATAAGTTGACAAATTGGTGTCTTAATTTCTTTTTTACAGAGTTATGGCCCTTGCTCCTTGTTTTCCAACTTAGTGCCTAGCACTGCCTACTGTGTGAAATGGGGACAAGTTTTATAAAAAAGAACTTGAGTTACATGAATGAAAGTTTGCAAGCTTATCTGAGAGATACTTATCAAGATTGAGTTTGAGAATTGGTGCCATGAATTACTTTTTTTCCAGAGAAGGGGCCATTTGTGTGTGTTTTATTTCACATTTAATCATTTATTTATATTTATGATGACAAGGGACCCTAGTGCCTACATCCTCTCAAGGCTTTATACGGCTCTTCCTTTTTGTAGTGGACATTAACTTCCATGTTGTTCACTACTATATGAACATATAAACTACTGTATGAACAAATAAACTACTATATGAACAAATAAACTACTATATGAACAAATAAACTGCTATATGAACAAATAAACTACTATATGAACAAATAAAATAGTATATGAACAAATAAAATACTATATGAACAAATAAACTGCTATATGAACAAATAAACTACTATATGAACAAATAAACTGCTATATGAACAAATAAACTACTATATGAACAAATAAACTACTATATGAACAAATAAACTGCTATATGAACAAATAAACTACTATATGAACAAATAAACTGCTATATGAACAAATAAACTACTATATGAACAAATAAAATACTATATGAACAAATAAAATTCTATATGGACAAATAAAATTCTAATGTGTCCCATGGCAGGGGATAGTGATAATGCTGTTTTTTGTTTTTAAGACTGCTGTGAACCGGGAAAATAAAAATCTTGCCTAAATACTGTTTTTCAGGAAAATCGTGTTTCTTCGTGATCAGACAACAGAAGTGGACGGTCCAAGCGCTGGTGTCGGTCGGGGAGAAGGTCAGCAAACAGATGGTCAAGTATATCGCAAAGTGAGAACCAGTCAAAGTGTCGCTATACTCATGTGCTTTAAGAGACGGAACCTAGTTGCCTGTTGTGAATGGTGATAGGTTGGTTGGTTTGTTGTTTTACATCGCACTCAGCAATATTCCAGCTATATGACGGCGGTCTGTAAATAATCGAGTCTGGACCAGACAATCCAGTGATTGATATCATGAGCATCGACCCATGCAATTGGGATCCATCAACCAAGTCAGCGAGCCTGACCACCCGATCCCGCCTCTTACGACAAGCAAAGTCGCCTTTTACGGCAAGCATGGGTTGCTGAAGACCTATTCTACCCTGGATCTTCACAGGTCCATAGTGAGAACCAGTGAACATGATACTGCTCTTATGTACCAAAAGACGGAACCTAGTCGCCTGCAGTGAATCATGATAGCATCTGTTGACATTGTGAGAACCAGTCAACATGTCGCTGGAGTGTGGCATTAAACACTAAGCATACAAGAAGAAATAGTGTTCAGAGATGTAAAACATCATTCGGTTGTTTCTGTGCCAGCTCAGTTGCAACTTTCGTTATTTACCAGTTTGTATTCAGTAATCCCACATCTCAGTGGCACCAAACTACTGTTGCAGTATCAACAAGGAATCCATTATCGATGTGGAGGGGTATGTGAGGACAGTCCCACAGAAGATTGAATCCTGCTCACAACAAGATGTCGAACTTCACGCAGAACAGGTACGTCTGTAAAACAAAATATTTCTTTTCTCAACAAGAACAAGGGTTAGCACAGTAGGTGGTGCATCCTCTTATCAGGGAGGAAGGCCGGGTTTGATTGTACTCAAGGACACAAGTAAAAGCACATTCTAGATCTGCCGTGGGTTTGGTTGTACTCAAGCACACATGTAAAGCACATTCTAGATCTGCCATCAGTTTGATTGTACTCAAGCACACATGTAAAGCACATTCTAGATCTGCCGTGGGTTTGGTTGTACTCAAGCACACATGTAAAGCACATTCTAGATCTGCCATCAGTTTGATTGTACTCAAGCACACATGTAAAGCACATTCTAGATCTGCCATCAGTTTGATTGTACTCAAGCACACATGTAAAGCACATTCTAGATCTGCCGTGGGTTTGATTGTACTCAAGCACACATGTAAAGCACATTCTAGATCTGCCGTGGGTTTGATTGTACTCAAGCACACATGTAAAGCACATTCTAGATCTGCCATCAGTTTGATTGTACTCAAGCACACATGTAAAGCACATTCTAGATCTGCCATCAGTTTGACTGTACTCAAGCACACATGTAAAGCACATTCTAGATCTGCCGTGGGTTTGATTGTACTCAAGCACACATGTAAAGCACATTCTAGATCTGCCGCGGCTGAATTGTTTCCCTCGTTGCTTCCCTCAGGTGGTCAAACTTAGTGTGGCATGATGGGTAATTACCAGAGGTGTTGTGTCCCTTTACCACCGTGACATGTTTGTATGTTTGTTGTTTAAGGCCACATTCAGCAATATTCCAGCTATATGACAGTGGTCTGTACCAGATAATGCATTGATTGATGTCGTGAGCATCGATCCACGCATTTGGGATACAATCACATGCATCAACCAAGTCAGCGAATTTGACCACCTGATCCCATTAATCACCTCTTACGGCAAGCATGGGTTGTTGAAGGCCTATTCTAACCCGGATCTTCACAGGTCTAGTGGCATGTAGCCATGAACAAGTTTATTTATTTGCCTCAACACTTCCTGTATTGGAATACAAATAACGTTAAACGCCTGTATTTATGGTCGGTGTGTGATCCAGGTATTTGACCATAAACTGTTGTCTGTGCACAGGTGTGGGTTATAAGTTCAGCTGCACCAAGACTTCCCCTGCTCATAGAGGATGCGTCACGACCCGACACAGAAGGGGTAGGTCATCCTGACACTTGACAGCCCCTAGCAACAGTTGTCAGCAGACAGACGGAATGAGCACATGCTTAACTTCTCATGGCCTGTATTGGTTATTCTTCGTCATTATCTTGAAAAGTTGTAATTGTTATTGCCGATATTAGTCGTTAATATCAGTGAACAGAAGTCAGAAAAGCTAAAATGTTCAACTTTACTGGTATGTTTTAAAATATTGATTCAAACTGATGTCTTTTGAAATTTATGGCGTGTCTGATGTCTTTTCTGAACTTCTTCAACTTCCATTGTGTCACTCACTCACTCACTCTATGTTACGTCAGGACTTGGCCCGTGTAAATCAGGACACTCGTCTCGACAACCGCATCATCGACCTCCGGACACAGACCAACCAAGCCCTGTTCCGTGTTGAGATGGGCGTGTGTAGACACTTCCGGCAACATCTGGAGCAGAGCGGCTTTGTAGAGATTCACACACCTAAAATAATTTCAGGTACTGCCAATATTCACTGAAAAATAAACAGCTGAACTTCACACATTAAATGACACCATTGGTCCACCTGGATTGTGACACAACTGATTGGGCAGCCTAGTTTGTGTTACGACACAACTGATGGGGTGGCTAGTTTGTGTTACGACACAACTGATGGGGCGGCCTAGTTTGTGTTGCGACACAACTGATGGGGTGGCCTAGTTTGTGTTACGATAGAACTGATGGGGCATCCTAGTTTGTGTTACGACACAACTGGTGGGGCGACCTAGTTTGTGTTACGACACAACTGGTGGGGCGACCTAATTTGTGTTACGACACAACTGATGGGGCGGCCTAGTTTGTGTTACGACACAAGTGATGGGGTGGCCTAGTTTGTGTTACGACACAAGTGTTGGTGTGGCCTAGTTTGTGTTACGACACAAGTGATGGGGTGGCCTAGTTTGTGTTACGACACAACTGATCGGGCGACCTAATTTGTGTTACGACACAACTGATGGGGCGGCCTAGTTTGTGTTACGACACAACTGATGGGGCGGCCTAGTTTGTGTTACGACACAACTGATGGGGTGGCCTAGTTTGTGTTACGACACAACTGATGGGGTGGCCTAGTTTGTGTTACGACACAACTGATGGGGCGGCCTAGTTTGTGTTACGACACAACTGATGGGGTGGCCTAGTTTGTGTTACGACACAACTGATGGGGTGGCCTAGTTTGTGTTACGACACAAGTGTTGGTGTGGCCTAGTTTGTGTTACGACACAAGTGATGGGGTGGCCTAGTTTGTGTTACGACACAACTGATGGGGCGACCTAATTTGTGTTACGACACAAGTGATGGGGTGGCCTAGTTTGTGTTACGACACAACTGATGGGGCGGCCTAGTTTGTGTTACGACACAACTGATGGGGTGGCCTAGTTTGTGTTACGACACAACTGATGGGGTGGCCTAGTTTGTGTTACGACACAACTGATGGGGTGGCCTAGTTTGTGTTACGACACAACTGATGGGGCGACCTAGTTTGTGTTACGATACAACTGGTGGGGTGGCCTAGTTTGTGTTACGACACAAGTGATGGGGCGGCCTAGTTTGTGTTACGACACAAGTGATGGGGCGGCCTAGTTTGTGTTACGACACAAGTGATGGGGTGGCCTAGTTTGTGTTACGACACAACTGATGGGGCGGCCTAGTTTGTGTTACGACACAAGTGATGGGGTGGCCTAGTTTGTGTTACGACACAAGTGATGGGGCGGCCTAGTTTGTGTTACGGCACAACTGATGGGGTGGCCTAGTTTGTGTTACGACACAAGTGATGGGGTGGCCTAGTTTGTGTTATGACACAACTGATGGGGTGGCCTAGTTTGTGTTACGACACAACTGATGGGGCGGCCTAGTTTGTGTTACGACACAACTGATGGGGTGGCCTAGTTTGTGTTACGATACAACTGGTGGGGTGGCCTAGTTTGTGTTACGACACAACTGATGGGGTGGCCTAGTTTGTGTTACGACACAACTGATGGGGTGGCCTAGTTTGTGTTACGGCACAACTGGTGGGGTGGCCTAGTTTGTGTTACGATACAACTGGTGGGGCGGCTAGTTTGTGTTACAATGATCTGGTAGTAAACTAGTGGTCTATATATCTGTGATATTTATATTTTGTTGATCCAGCAATAATTGTAATCTATGAGTCTTCACTGGCAATACTGTTGTCATGTGCTGTGATGTGTAGCAATGACTTGTCACTAATAACTTATACTTTGATTGACAGCTGCATCAGAAGGTGGGGCCAATGTGTTTGAGGTGACCTACTTCAAAACCAAGGCATACCTGGCCCAGTCCCCGCAACTCTACAAGCAGATGGCCATATGTGGAGACATGGATAAGGTGTTCACTGTCGGAGCAGGTGGGTGTCACATGACTACAAATAGCCATATATAGACATGGTGTTCACTGTCGGAGCAGGTGGGTGTCACATGACTACATATAGCCATATATAGACATGGTGTTCACTGTCGGAGCAGGTGGGTGTCACATGACTATAAATAGCCATATATGGACATGGTGTTCACTGTCGGAGCAGGTGGGTGTCACATGACTATAAATAGACATATATGGACATGGTGTTCACTGTCGGAGCAGGTGGGTGTCACATGACTATAAATAGCCATATATGGACATGGTGTTCACTGTCGGAGCAGGTGGGTGTCACATGACTATAAATAGCCATATATGGACATGGTGTTCACTGTCGGAGTAGGTGGGTGTCACATGAAAGGCAGACATATGTAGGGACATGTATGAAGTAAGAAGATAGATGTATTCATGACGATTTTAATGTGTACAGCTGAGTTAAACCACTTGAGCTTAAACCAGTAGATTTAAACCACTTGAGCTTGAACCAGTAGAGATAAACCACTTTAGCTTGAACCAGTAGATTTAAACCAGCAGAGTTAAACCAGTAGATTTAAACCACTTGAGCTTGAACCAGTAGAGATAAACCACTTTAGCTTGAACCAGTAGATTTAAACCAGCAGAGTTAAACCAGTAGATTTAAACCACTTGAGCTTGAACCAGTAGAGATAAACCACTTGAGCTTGAACCAGTAGATTTAAACCAGCAGAGTTAAACCAGTAGATTTAAACCACTTGAGCTTGAACAAGTAGAGTTCAACCACTTGAGCTTGAACCAGTAGAGTTAAACCACTTGAGCTTGAACCAGTAGAGTTAAACCAGCAGAGTTGTCCAGCAGAGTTCAACGCGGTGAGGTTCAACTGATGTTGTTTTCAGAGCAATGTTTTCAGTTTAAGTTCTTTGTCTTGCAGTGTTCAGGGCAGAAGACTCCAACACACATCGCCACTTGACTGAGTTTGTCGGTCTGGATCTGGAAATGGCGTTCAGCTACCACTACCATGAAGTTCTTGATGTTATCGGAAATTTGTTTGTGGCAATATTCAAAGGTCTACAACAGAAGTAGGTCCAAGTGTTTAGAAACGTTCATTGAATAAAATAATTTCAAAAGAGGGAGATGAAGACTGACATAAGTCTGAGCTAACCAAGCAGGAATCGAAATGAGACAGAAGTATTCAGACAAATTCTTGTATCAACTGAAATAATATTTAGGTAAACAGATCATTGGAAGTCTTTGTCTGGCTGTCAGAGTTACCTCCCTTGTACCACATCAATCCTACTCATCCCCCTCCCCAAAGAAGACAGCGAAAGATTGACTGCCCCACACTTCAGATAATGTAACATTGTTTGGAAGAAACTAATCTATTTGATTTCTTGTAGTTTTGCAGAGGAAATCGAAATTGTCCATAAACAGTTTCCTGCCGAGCCTTTCAAGTTTTTGGAGCCGAGGTAAGAAGGAGTGACACTGTAGTCACGTCTGTTGATATTGGAAATCCTATACATTGTTATTATGTACATTGATGACATTTAAGAAGGAAACTGCAAAAGTAAATATTTGGCGATCAGTTTCTTTGTCAACTGAAAACTTTGCCTGTTAGATAGTACCTCATGTTGATTTGAGATTAACATGGTAATTTTGCATGTTTTCCAGTTTACGCCTCGACTACCGTGAAGGCGTGCAGATGTTGCGGGAGGTCGGAGTGGACATGGAAGAAGGCGATGACCTCAGCACACCGAATGAGAAGTTACTAGGGAAGCTGGTGAAAGCCAAGGTATAACTGCCATTGTGCAACGACATATAACTGCCATTGTGCACTGAGGTATAACTGCCATTGTGCACCGAGGTATAACTGCCATTGTGCAACGATGTATAACTGCCAGTGTGCAACGACGTATAACTGCCATTGTACACTGAGGTATAACTGCCATTGTACACCGAGGTATAACTGACATTGTACACCAAGGTATAACTGCCATTGTGCACTGAGATATAACTGCCATTTGTACTGAGGTATAACTGCCATTGTACACCAAGGTATAACTGCTATTGTGCGCCAAGGTATAACTGCCATTGTACACCGAGGTATAACTGCCATTGTACACCGCGGTACAACTGCCATTTGTTCTGAGGTATAACTGCCATTGTGTGCCGAGGTATTACTGCCATTGTACACCGAGGTATAACTGCCATTGTACACCGAGGTATAACTGCCATTGAACACCGAGGTATAACTGCCATTTGTTCTGAGGTATAACTGCCATTGGGTGCCAAGGTTTTACTGCCATTGTTCACCGAGGTATAACTGCCATTGTACACCGAGGTATAACTGCCATTGTACACCGAGGTATAACTGCCATTGTGCGCCAAGGTATGACTGCCATTGTGCGCCGAGGTATAACTGCCATTGTGCGCAGAGGTATAACTGCCATTGTACACCGAGGTATAACTGCCATTGTGCGCCGAGGTATAACTGACATTGTGCGCCGAGGTATAACTGACATTGTACACCGAGGTATAACTGACATTGTGCACCGAGGTATAACTGACATTGTACACCGAGGTATAACTGACATTGTGCACCAAGGTATAACTGACATTGTGCACCGAGGTATAACTGACATTGTACACCGAGGTATAACTGACATTGTGCACCGAGGTATAACTGCCATTGTGCGCCGAGGTATAACTGACATTGTGCGCCGAGGTATAACTGCCATTGTGCGCCGAGGTATAACTGACATTGTGCACCGAGGTATAACTGACATTGTACACCGAGGTATAACTGACATTGTGCACCGAGGTATAACTGACATTGTTCACCGAGGTATAACTGACATTGTGCACCGAGGTATAACTGACATTGTGCACCGAGGTATAACTGACATTGTTCACCGAGGTATAACTGACATTGTGCACCGAGGTATAACTGACATTGTGCGCCGAGGTATAACTGACATTGTGCGCCGAGGTATAACTGCCGTTTTTACACCGAGGTATAACTGCCATTGTGCGCCGAGGTATAACTGACATTGTACACCGAGGTATAACTGACATTGTACACCGAGGTATAACTGACATTGTGCACCGAGGTATAACTGACATTGTACACCGAGGTATAACTGGTATTGTACACAAAGGTATAACTGCCATTGTACACTGAGGTATAACTGACATTGTACACCAAGGTATAACTGCCATTGTGCACCAAGGTATAACTGACATTGCACACCGAGGTATAACTGACATTGTGCACCGAGGTATAACTGACATTGTGCACCGAGGTATAACTGACATTGTACACCGAGGTATAACTGGTATTGTACACCAAGGTATAACTGCCATTGTACACTGAGGTATAACTGACATTGTACACCGAGGTATAATTGCCATTGTGCACCAAGGTATAACTGCCATTGTGCACCGAGGTTTAACTGCCATTGTGCACCAAGGTATAACTGCCATTGTGCACCGAGGTATAACTGACATTGTGCACCGAGGTATAACTGCCATTGTACACCGAGGTATAACTGCCATTGTACACTGAGGTATAACTGCCATTGCACACTGAAGGACAACTGGTGTGCTCCCTGAATGAGTCGTATGATGTGTTTCAGTACGACACTGACTTCTTCATCCTCGACAAGTTCCCTCTGGCGGTGCGGCCCTTCTACACCATGCCGGACCCCGAGGACACGGTGAGTGAGACAAGGACGTTGCCCCAGACATTCTGACTCGCTTCTGTACTGTAACGAATCTGAAAGCAGCCACCTAATTCATTTCATTTATGTCCTGTGACAGATGGTTGTCTTTATACTTGATATACCTCCCCTTTACCCCTTGGGAATTTTCTGGCATGGAAACTGCCTCATCTCCAAATCAGCCATAGTTACCTCCCTTTCATCAGCCATAGTTACCTCCCTTTCATCAGCCATAGTTACCTCCCTTCCATCAGCCATAGTTACCTCCCTTCCATCAGCCATAGTTACCTCCCTTTCATCAGCCATAGTTACCTCCCTTTCATCAGCCATAGTTACTTCTCTAACGTCAGTCACCAGTTCAAAGTTATAGCATGCTCTCCTTATATTGTTGGATCCTGTTCCAAAAAGACAGAAATGTTATACCCTTGACCTATGTAGTGCTAAGTTTGACCTTTGTCCAATGACTACACTCCATTGTAATAGTACTTCTCTTGCCTTTATAGAAATGGTCCAACTCGTACGACATGTTTATGCGTGGGGAGGAGATCCTGTCTGGAGCCCAGCGAATCCACGACCCCGACTTCCTGTTGGAGAGGGCGAAGGAACATGAAATAAGTGAGTGTTCAAAAATAATGTCCTAGATTCAAACCCCATAGGTTCTTAAACTGAAGAAAAGTCTCGGATCTCGGGCTCCAACCAAACAACCCATGAGGGCAGTATTTCAGTTGCTCTTTTGTCTTCAATTATTTAGACATGTACAAGACGTTCCCATGTGGTACTAGTCCGAGGCAGAGCCAGGGTTTTGTAAGGGAAGCGCACTAAGTCGGAAACAACAACAGATGATGCTGGGGCTGTTCGTTTTACGCTCACTGAGCCAATGTTCCATATTCCAACTGTGTGAGGGGCGGTCGGGTAGCCTAGTGGTTAAAGCGTTCGCTCGTCACGCTGAAGACCTGGGTTCGATTCCCGACATGGGTACAATGTGTGAAGCCCATTTCTGGTGTCCCCCGACATGGGTACAATGTGTGAAGCCCATTTCTGGTGTCCCCCGCCGTGATATTGCTGAAATATTGCTAAAAGCGGCGTAAAACCATACTCACTCACTCCAACTGTGTGACGGCCGCCTGAACCAAACAATCCAATGATTGATATCATGTGCAGTGTCCCTTGCTGCTGTGTTATGGCATCTTTCCGAGGCAAGAGAGTTAACTGACTTTAAAAGTCCAGTTTCCACCCTTGGCGAACTAGGCTGGAATTCCTGGGTTTGATCGTAGCGCCACCAGTGGCTATTATGAGTTATGTCCCTTCTATGCCTCTCCTATGGACCAATATGATTCCACCTCTCGTATCACTTGCATTTGCTTCAAACAAAATGGCGGTGCCCAGTCAAGAAGATCTGATTGGTAACCAAGATCTATATTGTGATAAAAATATTGTCTTACATCGCAAAGTATCAAATTACATGAGCACCTTGACTAAAATATAATGAAAAGATTTGGAAAATATCTGTTGTTAACGAGTTGGTGGTGCACATGCTTTGCAAATCCTGCAATCCACCGAAATCTGCATGACAGTTTATGAACCAGACTCCGCTTTCATTGTACGATTTTGATTGGACCTGGCATAGACTCGTTAATCCAGCCAAAATCTAACTCGATAATACCAGCTTAGTTCAGTGGAAACTGGACTTAATAGTCAGGTAGCTCCCTAGCCTCGGGGAGATGGGTTGTGGTAACATGTCATCAACCGAGTCACTGAGACAGGTGGACTCCCAAGATGTCGAACAGAAAGGGCGGGCACACAGCCTCTACTCACTTGGGGTCACCAGTGTGGTTAGTGCCCTAATTCTACAACTGAACCGATCATAAAGTATGTGTAGGTGAGGCAACTTCCTTCAACAACATGCTTCAGAGCTTGTTTGGATTGACTTCTGTGTAATAACTGTATAAAAAAAACAGTAATTGCATAACTTGTATTCTGTCTCTACAGACATTGAGAAGATCAAGGCGTACATCGACTCATTCAAGTACGGAGCGCCTCCGCATGCCGGAGGGGGTATAGGTGAGTTGGACATAGACGGCTACACTCCCGGAGAGAATTCACTTTTCTTTATTCTTCACAATGTCGGCAGGATGTATGCTAATGAGATGGTCTCATCATCTGCCATTCCAAGTTTCATTCTTTTGTCGAAATTCAAATCATTGTTTACCTTTATCGTGTTTATATAACAAAAGGATCTCATGGTGCCATTTGTTTTTTATTATTAGCTCAATTGGTTGTAGCCAATAGACCGTTTCCATGGTAATAGATAATTCTACCAATAAAAGTAATCAAATTTTAGTTTATTGATATGTAGTGGAATAGAATACTTCACGTCGTATTTTGGCAACCTCAATCCGTGTATTTATGAATGAGGCCAAATCTCTCACACTTGCGGTTTTGGTTCATGCCTCTTGCTTTCTTCCAGGTATGGAGCGGGTCACCATGTTATACCTGGGGCTTGACAATATCCGCAAGGCGTCATTGTTCCCACGTGACCCGAAGCGGCTCACACCCTGAAGCATGACCTCCATTTTACCTCCAGCAATATCTTACATTTCCTCAATGAATTCTGTAACGTGTTGTTTTGGTTAGGATTTTAAGAAATATTTCAAAATATGAACAGGTCCTTTGTTAACAGCTGACAGGGCTTTTGGGTTGGGTTTCATTCTCATTCAATATTTCAAAGTAATGTTTGATCTTTGTCTTGTGTAATCATTAAACTAATCTCTGTATCTCCTTCATACACACAAGTAAGCCACAATCTACATAGATTGTATTTATTAAGGCAGATTAGGATGGGTGGATTGCACTGTGAACACAATGCATAAAAGTGCTATTATGATTCCAGTACTGTGTCTGACATGACTAGAGACGTTTCTCTATTGACTTTAAGGTCTTAAGTCATCAGTGGCAGGCTTCTGTCTGCTGTTAACTAGGGGTATGCGGTATTACCAAAATATTGGTAAATTGAGGTTCATTCTTTCCACGATACGTATCATAATATCATGTTGTCACGCTTGATATATCAGGTGATTTCAAATAGCAATTTTTTATTGTGTGTTTATTGTTATATATTTGGCAAATGCCTTCGGTGCCAGGAGCATGCATCCGGGGCACCAAGATGGCTGCATATTTACTGACTGAGTAAACATCATTTTGTACAAGAATCTTGTTTTGTTCCATTTATGAACGTCAATTCATACTTTAGTGTATCAGATTGCTTCTGAAGTCAAAATTTAGAATGATACAATATATCATGATACGTATTGCAATATGGCCTTGTACATCGCAAAATATTCTGATGCACTTTAAATCTCAAATACACATACCTACGGTTAGCCATTGTATGAAATCTCAGCTGTTGTCCCATATAGTCCTGGGAATTATTTAATATATACCTCTATTTATTTACATTTTAACACCAGTTATGCATTCACTGAAGGTAATGACTGAGTATGCCAGATGGATAGGCCATAATTAGGTGGCTGTTAGTTTGTGGTTACCTGATTGGTCAACAAGACATTTAAAATATTTATCAATTGTAATAATTTAAGAAAATGCATTGATAATAGGCTGCCAACAAGCTGATGACTTTGTTTCTATTGTTCTACTACAAGCCTGGGTTGACTTAGTGCTGACAAACTGTATTATGTACATAAACCATCATTCTGAACATGTCTGTTATATTTTTGTACAGATATCTTACAGACTTGAGGTGACTCTGCTTATTAAATATGAAAATTTCACTGCCATGTCTTGAGTTAGCTTGTTTGTTTCGTTCATCGAGGAAAGTTTTTCTGTATGATCAAATCAGTTGTAACTGCAACCAATTCTGTGGTCACAAGAGGCGACTTATGGATCGGGTGGTCAGACTCTGGTTGACCATGTGTCATTGTACCCCACAGTGGATCATTGCTCACAACATCAGTCACTGGGTTGTCTGGTCCAGACTAGATCCTTTACAGGCCGCCTTCATATAGCTGGAACGATGGGGCTACCATGAAAGTGTGTACTTTTTGTGTGCACCTGCAGTCAACACACTGTTCAGGGGGAGGAGGGTCTATGAATTAACCAAATCTCATATTTGGTTTCAAAAAAAAAAATTAAATGAAAAGTCCATCTCGGTCAAAACTGTGATAATAAACGTCCAGTGGCGTCATCCTATTCTTCTCATATCGGGTTAAATCTGAAAAAAATGGATGTTATAATATTCAACTTCAGTTTATATTGTAGAATGGTCCTCCCAAGAAATTATCTTGCATTTGAAGACAAATGTTTTAAGATTTTTTATCCCCCGCCGCGCGAAAGCGCGAAGCGGGGGATATAGTATTCACGACCGTCCGTACGTACGTCCCACCTGTTTGTTGCCGCGATATCTCAAGAACTAAACACTGGATTGTCTTCATATTTGGAACTATGGTGTATATACAGACTCCGCAGACACCAGTCGGTTTTGGTGACCTTGATCCCATTTTCAAGGTCACAGCAGGCATATCTGCTTTTGGAGTTGGAAAACGGTGTTGCCGCGATATCTCAAGAACTAAACACTGGATTGTCTTCATATTTGGAACTATGGTGTATATACAGACTCCGCAGACACCAGTCGGTTTTGGTGACCTTGATCCCATTTTCAAGGTCACAGCAGGCAAATCTGCTTTTGGAGTTGGAAAACGGTGTTGCCGCGATATCTCAAGAACTAAACACTGGATTGTCTTCATATTTGGAACTATGGTGTATATACAGACACCGCAGACACCAGTCGGTTTTGGTGACCTTGACCCCATTGTCAAGGTCACAGCAGGCAAATCTGCTTTTGGAGTTAGAAAACGGTGTTGCCGCGATATCTCAAGAACTAATCGCTGGATTGTCTTCATATTTGGAACTATGGTGTATATACAGACACCGCAGACACCAGTCGGTTTTGGTGACCTTGACCCCATTGTCAAGGTCACAGCAGGCAAATCTGCTTTTGGAGTTAGAAAACGGTGTTGCCGCGATATCTCAAGAACTAATCGCTGGATTGTCTTCATATTTGGTACTATGGTGTACAGGCGGGGGATATTTCGTCACTCTGTGACAAATACTTGTTTTTTTTAAATTTCAAGCACCCATAGGCAAGAAACATATATTTAACGCCTGTTTCCTAGGGTTCATGAAAAGTATGTTTGAAACATACAAGGTTGGTTTAAGTGTCTTTTTTTGGTTTATAGGTAAGATAAAATACGGGTTTTTATACGATTTAAAACCTGAATCCGAGGGTAAGTGTTTTATCCTACACATAAGGCCCCATCTTCCCGAGGCTATCGAGTTAACTGACTATAAAAATCCAGTTTCCACCCTTGCCAAACTAGGCTAGAATTCCTGGGCCTGGTCGTAGCACCACCAGTGGCTGTTACAAGTTATGTCCCTTCTATGGGGGGCACGGGTGGCCCAGTCGTCGCGATTCGGTGTACAGAGTTGCGTCCCTTGGGCACACCAGAAACCTATGATCGTTTGTTCGAATCCCTGATTACGTTTCTAGGTTTGTCAGCACCATACCCGTGCTCGTGGGTTTCACCGAAGTGTTAAACGTCTGAGACCTGCATCACTTCGGGCTTTCCTCCCACATTAAGCTGACACGCCGCAATATAACTGGAATACTGTTAAAAGCAGCGTCAAAACCCAACTCACTCACTCCCTTCTATGCCTTTCCTATGGACCAATCAGATTCCACCTCTCGTATCACTTGCATTTGCTTCAAACAAAATGGCGGCGCCCAGTCAAGACGATAGATCGATAATCACGATCTATATATTGTGATAAAACGAGTCTTACATCGCAAAGTGCATCAAATCACGTGAGCACCTTGATTAAAAACATGAAAAGATTAGAAAATATCTGTTGACAACGAGTAAGTGGTGCACATGCTTTGCAAGTCCTGCAATCGACCGAAATCTGCATGACAATTTACGAACCGGATTTCCATTTCGGGGCGCGATTTTGCATAGCCTCGTTAGTCCAGCCAAAATGTAACTCCACAATACCAGCCTAGTTCGGCAAGGGTGGAAACATTCGTGACCAACTTGTGTTATTCAGGGACAAGCCGAATAGCGACTCGTGTCCCTATCATCACAGGACCATGTAACAATAAAAATAAAAAAGTCGCAAAAATACATAGACGAGGCCTTTAATAATAAAAAAAGTCTCCAAAAAATCAGACTTTTGATTTTTTTGCGACTTTTTGATTTTTATTGTTACATGGTCCTGTGCTCTCATGGCCATTTTTGCGACCGGGTTCCGTCTTAGCGCAAACGGGCATACCTAAAACAATTGTCAACTCTTCGTGTTATGGTTCACATATATTTCCCCGTAGATTATATATATTTCAAATGCAATTTAAAGCACATCTGGACATGCGAAATTATACAGTATGATTGAACACCTTTTACTGTGTCTTGGGTATATTTTAGATGCAAGACATATGTAAAATCAAAAATTATTTCTGAGGGATTCTTTGACGAAGAACTTGAAATCATACGCGCATTCTGATTGGTTTGTCGTATTTTCGCACATAACATTCATCGATAGGGGGACGAGTCTTCTTGCAGGTTACGGAAAGGGGCGAGTGGTGACGAATGGGGTGGAAACTTGACTTTTGTAGTCAGTTAACTCCCTTGCCTCGGGAAGATGATAAGGCTCCAAACAGCAATCAGTCCTGGATGGCCATAAGGATCAAATTATATTTTTAAAAATGAAGTTCATGTTTGTAAATACAGAACTCTAAACTATGTGGAATATCCTTCACGCCCAGTTCCTGCATTTAGCAGGACTCCACTGCAAATGGTAATACACCAGGCCATACACTCACGTGGTTTAACGTGCGCTTTCTGACATGTATGTATTTCGCGCACGGGCCCGCCAGGCCATTTAGTGATGTGGTAGTGAAGCGTATGTCCGAAAGGTAAGACAAACTGGAGGGGCGATATGGTCGCTTAATTAATTTTGGCGGAATTAGGAATTTTGAAATATGCGATGCAAATAAGGCGGGGAAAGTGAAGGAGTTTGTGAGGTTGTGTGTTTTATAGACTTATGTTTTATTGATAGTTTGTTGTTGTTGTGTTTTGGTTGGGGTTTTTATAATGCGGTCGAGGAGGCCTGTTTTCATTAGATAAATGCCTAGTGCTTAATAGGTTTGTAAGTTATTTAAGGGGTTTAGTAGAGTTGCTAGTGTCATTTGGTAGTTGTAGTATAGTGTGGATTTGAGTCACTCTAGTAATGTTTATAGCGTATGCACCTGTGAGGCGTTCAAACTACTATAATTAACCCGGGGCGTTTTGTGACATATACTGTCCAAAACAAGTAGAGGCATATGAAACCGACAAAGCACTTTCCTCCTACAGTAAGCTGACGCGTCGTGATATAGCCGAAATACTGCCCAAAGCGGCGTTAAATTGCCCACCCACGCCTTCAGCCTGCTATAAGACATAAGGCTGGCATGCACAATACTTTCAGTCCCGACTGTTCATATGGATGTGTATATATAGCTGGTTAGATCATGCAAACTTATGTATTGGCGGTTCTTCAGCTTGTCGGCAGTAACCCGTGGGGACTAAGTGCCCAGTAACCCGTGCTTGTCGTGAGAGGGGTCAGACTCGATGACCTGGTTGATTGAATCCCCTATTGAAACTGGGGAATGGAGAAAATAACTTTAACCGAAAGAAAATGACCACTTTGTAAACTATCCGACATATGTGATGAATTTCATTATCAAATGACTGACAGCACACTGACCTTGATATGGAAGTAAATATTACTATATTCATGATGATTGATGGTCATTATATATTATGTATGTGTTATACATCATACTTCATGTATATAATGTAGAACTCCTTTAACTGAGCAATATATTCCAAAGTATAAAGCAATAATAAATCAAGAGTAAACACTGATTTGTATAAATTTTGTTTTCTTTTGTACCAGTTGTCAGACAGTTGTTGACGACAGGACTAATCTATTCGGATTTAAGGGAATTCTTCGGATCCTTTGGAATTCTTCTTCTTCTTCTGTAAAAGAAAGGGATCTATATAAGGAGAGGTGATTCCACACACACACACACACACACACACACAAACACAAACACACACACAAACACACACACACAAACAAACAAACAAACATGGGCAAATAAATGGGGCACCTCACTGAATGCCGAAAGAACTACAGGGATAGTATTCAAACACAAATAAAATATATGCGCGCAAACACCCCCAAACTAAAACTCAACAATAATCCCGAAAATGTCCAAACCCAGACTAGATTTCTAGGACTAATCTTTGATGAACACCTCACCTGGGGTGCTCACATTAAAAACCTAACAAATAGATGCACTAAAGACCTAAACACACCACGCTGCCTGACAGGTTCCAACTGGGGGGCCTCCAAGGAGACCCAACTATCACTTTACAAATCACTAATTAGATTCAAAATAGACTATGGATGCCAAATATACAACACCCTAAACTCAACATTAAACGATAAACTAAACTCAATCTATACCAAGCACTAAGGTTAATCACGCGCACACCCCAGGGCACACCGCGCACATCACTGCAAACTTCAACAGGCGAAATCCCCCTGGATCTACGCCGAGAACAATTTACAATTTATTACTGGGCCTCCACCCAAGATAACCCACAAATCCAACAAATGCTTAAAAACAACATAAGCCCACAACTCCAAGCTCGAAAATAACCACAATTAGTACCAATTTCTCAACGCAACTACTTCCATACTCAGACGTAGATGTGAAAAGAGGGACGTTGAAATGGGTATCTGTAAAAACTGCCTATTAGAAGAAATTGAGGATGAATATCATGTTTTATTAGTATGTGATAAGTATGAACATCTTAAAAAAAAGGTATATTCCGATGTTTAACAATAGGCATAAAACAAGATGTTAATTATCAGTCTTATAAGATCCAAGAACTCGGCTGTTAAAGTTCATTAGCCATATTGATGAAACATACATTCACTGTTAGTTTTTATTTATCATGTATATCACGTGACTAAACAAATGAAACTGAAAATGTCAACTATACAATGGGCCATGTGGCCTTAAATACCGAATAAAATATCTATCTATCTACTCACAACCTCAATTATTTAAAACTAAACACAACACCAAACAATTCTTTCATACCCAAACTCCAAACCCCCTAAATCGACATATCTTTCTCCAATGAACTAAATGAAGATACCGACCCAAACACCGCTAAATCCACCACAGTGGCAAACATACACGAAAAATGGCCAAATTGGTGTCCCAGATACACAGACGGGTCCTCTGATCCGGACTCAAAACACGGGATTCGGCATCCACATCAACAAACCTACAAAGAAACAAAATCCTATAGGCTCCCCAATATTCACCCTTGGTTATATAATTTAATATGTTTATTAAGCTCGCGTGGCCTGACCCAAGTATACTGAACCGCAAAAGAAACGTTACCATGGGTTGATATTTGAGAAACCTTATTTGTCCAAACACTGTAAAGATACTTTGAGACATATAAAAAAGATTAAACTTGGTAAAACTGATCATCAAGGTTGAAATATAAGTGTCAAATGTTCTTAAAGTTAAACACAACACTAGTCTCTGAGAAAATGTAATCACAAGTCAGTATCTCGTGTGTCCGCCATGTGCATTGATGACTGCCGTGCAACGTCGATACATGGAATGGATGAGGCGGTTGATGAAGGCCATAGGCACTTGAGCCCACACTCTGAGGAACGCCTGACGCAGTTCAGCTGCAGTTGTCGGCCTTGGTCGGACGTCATTCAGCCGTCTTTGAATCTTGTCCCACAGGTGCTCAATGGGATTTAAGTCGTGACTGAGGACAGGCCACTGCATGGTTCTGATTCCATTCTGCTGGAGGACGTTTCTTGTTGCTCTCGCAGTGTGGGACGGGCGTTATCATGCTGAAACTCGTAGTTGCGGCGACGTGCCAAATGAGGTATGGCGTGTGGTCTCAAGACTTGATCAATGTACCGAGCTGCTGTGACACCATTGCCTCTCCCTGGACCGATGTTCTGGAAGACCACAGGGTCGACCCTCTTTGCAAGACCAAATCCACCTCACACCATGATGCCCGGACCACCCCACGAGCCTGGTAACGAACACGCCGACAAAGCAGCTAAATCTGCACTAAAATAAGAAGAAGTAAGCATCAATCAGAAAACAAACTGCATTAAACAACAAACAAATAACAAACAACAAACCACAGTGAAGGCCCCGGTGGGTCCGTGTGCGAAATACGCATAGTGACGACAAGCGCACGTAAAATCTTCAAATCATCATCCTTATCAACCATTTTCTATGCTCATTAACACATAAAAAACGTTAATTATATTAAAATTGCCCTAGAGTGAGGTGTAAGGTTCATGCAGTTTGAGGTAGTACCGTTAGACACAGCTGTGGTGCTCGTGTAGGGTTGCAAAGGTGTAACGATTCATTAGCCGCCCGACTTTTGCATAAATGGAATTGTTAATATTCTCTAAATTATTTGTTATTGACATATGTTAATTACGTTTTGTTCTACTAAAGATGTGTCATATATAACATGCATCACAAAGTCCACGCAATGTTGAACCATTTTGAAAACGTTGGCCTCTTCTTAAAATAATTTCAAACTAACTTTAGACATGAAAAGAAATTCTAACTACAATCTAAAATTCACTATCATATATTTATTTATCGTTTAGGATAGAAACATCAACATTTCTTCATCGGAGTGCATGGATACATTTGGTCTCACTGCTTTTCTACCTTTCATGAACCCTATTTTGACAAAAGCAGCTTGTTATAAAAATCCCACAAATGTTGTTAATACTTACAAAAACAAACTTAATATATTTGATTTTATTCATAATGAGATTTAACAGTAAGTTTTTTGTGTTTTTTTCATAACTTTCCCCTTAACATTGAGCCTTTGAGGTTTCTTGTGTCCCTTCGATGGATCATGTGTACTACTCGGTGCATATCCTTTTTTCGCCATTCCTCACATTATTCTAGTTCCACATCCATGAATTGGGAAGGGGAATCCCTAAGATGGAGGAGAATCTATTTAAATCACTAGTAAATGACGTCACTTGTAATATAACCAATCACGTGTACCTATAGATTTGCTCCGGAGTTTGGCAACAAACGTGTACTACTACTAGGAGAAAACTAATGACATGCAGTTTGATCTGAAAATTTATAATCAACATAAATGTGGTGCACGTGAAAACATACATAACTATTAAATATTTGATTTCCTATAGAATAATAAATGTATTTAAAATAAATGGTACAATAATCCTTATCGTAAATCCAAATGTCTGATTGCTCAAAAGTAAAATAAGTTTTAAAGGAATAGCATGTAAGGCAGCAGGTGCGTGTTCGCCCGGTGGTCGACTAAAACTGAGACACGTCATTCAAACCGACTTCCGCGAGAATTCAACTACCGGCGAAGATTTGCCTATGTCAGAGCCAAAGGACGATAAGCTGAATCGAGACTGCGATATAGATTTATCTGTGCCAGTGCCACAAGTGGATAAGACGCCGACGGGCAAAATGGCAGAAGCCGGTCGTTTTAAACTGTTGGTGTGTGCCGGTGGAATATTCGTCTGCTACTTTTATTACGGAATCCTGCAAGAAAAGATGTAAGTTTTCTGGCGACACTGTCTCAGCCGTGTAAAGTGTATGTCTTATCTATGTCTTAATCATAGCAATCATGCGGAAACTTATGTATATTTTGTATTTATATGTCTTCTATATTAGGGATGTGTTATCAACTTAAAAATTTAGTCAACAGCTGGATTCCAAGGTATGCTCTGTTGTCACTGTCATTGTCAGTTTTGAGGAGATGATACAGCTGTTACTAGTACTTGGCCCAGAAGTGTGTTTGTTAGCTCACCTAGGTAGATGTTCTTTGGCACGTTTCAATTGGAAAAATTATTCATGCCACGAAGAGGCGTTTCTTTCCCCTTGAATTGACAATAAACAAAGTAGTTATCAAATGAGGAACATTCACGCCCCCAAGACGAGCATGTTACTAATTAATAGATTATGCTAGCAAGGGCACACGCAGGAGGGGTCACCATAGTAGTTAAATTTCTTTACTTCATTGATCTGTTGAAGCCAAGCAACAATTATCTAACAGGTCACGATTCCTAACCTGATTTCCAGATTGTACATCAGAATAAACAAATGTTGTCTTTGGTCACAGTCAGCAATATTCAAGCTGTATCACTACAAACTGTAAATAATCTTATGTGGACAGATATTTATCAAGGATTCTAAACTAAGTGCCCTTTGCTGGCGCATGTGTTCAAATACCAAAATTTCCTACTTGCCCAAGGGCAAGTAAACTTAAAAATTTTACTTGCCAAGCATGATTTTCAACTGGAGAAAAGAAGCAAACTTGACTAGAAAAATGACTTCATCTGTAGTTGACAAACACACCACACATTTTCTAAGTTTCAATGTTGATGCCACCAATTTTCATACTTTCCTGAGGATTATATTTTCTCATTTGCCTAGCACATTATGTTTCCTTGGTCGGGCGAGTTGAACATCCCCTGGCAGGCACTTTACCATGTGTATTGATCCTGTTATCAGTTACCTCTATTAGATATGACTAAATACTAACATGAATTGGGAAATCTTAAATTCCAATTTGGGAATTCTTTCTTCATGTTCTTTACATTTGCTACAGACTTAGGGACAAATATCAGCCTCTGCGCAGGTCAAGATAAACCCCTGGTGGATCCTATTGTCAAATGTATGGTATACATGGTATAGCGTCCTTACCATTGTCATTTGTTGAGTATCATGACCTCACTATTGGCATTATTGTCATATGTAAAGTATTATTTGAAGATTACTGAAAGAAGCCAGAGCACAGATAAGCAGCGAATTTGCGTAAAATTCCCACCCAAAAACCATATTCAAAACCCAATTACTTTCAATTTACTTGCATACAGAAACGCATGTATTAAATGAAAACTCAAATGTATTAAAAGCAGCATATGTAAATACCCAATGAAGCTTTTCCAGCATGCGTACAAAGGAGCTAATTTCCGAAACACGATTACGAGCTAATTTACTTAGCCTATATATTTAGATCAGTTATATACATCTAAAACATTATTTCATTTTTAAAAAATCTTAAAATGTTCACTAATTTTGGAAAAAAAACAATAGGGTGATGAATAGATGAGTAAAAAAATATTGGTTACCCAATGAAATATGTAATAACCCAATTAAAATAGAAACCCTAGAGTAAAAACGCAATTGCTCAAAAAGTTATCTGGAGCTCTGAGAAGCACTAGACATCATACAGTGGTATCAGAATGATCAGGTGAGCTACTGAACTTCATTCGTGTTCATAGTTCTGTGATACTGTGACATTCAATCGGTGCACAGGTATTCACAGACCACAGGTGCAGTATAATGATTTTATGCTAATCATGCTATGACTATTTCAGTCTAGGAAAGCAGTATCTTCTGTAAGGAATATGTGACAGACTTCATCATGTGTATGCATCAGGTACATCACATGTGAAAAACTATCTACTGGCATTTTCAATGCAGTCATTCTGCAGATAAACTGATCGTCATGGTAACTGCCAACAGGTGTATCTATGATCTGAATTGTGAAACAATTTGGGGGAGTTAAGTACTGTTGGTTAACTGGGACACATCGGGGAGAGTTAAGTACTGTTGGTTAACTGGGACACATTGGGGAGAGTTTAGTACTGTTGGTTAACTGGGACACATTGGGGGGAGTTAAGTACTGTTGGTTAACTGGGACACATTGGGGAGAGTTTAGTACTGTTGGTTAACTGGGACACATTCGTGAGAGTTATGTACTGTTGGTTAACTGGGACACATCAGGGGGAGTTAAGTACTGTTGGTTAACTGGGACACATTGGGGAGAGTTAAGTACTGTTGGTTAACTGGGACACATTTGGGAGAGTTATGTTCTGTTGGTTAACTGGGACACATTGGGGGGAGTTAACTCCTGTTGGTTAACTGGGACACATTATGGTCAGTTAAGTACTGTTGGTTAACTGGGACACATCGGGGAGAGTTAAGTACTGTTGGTTAACTGGGACACATCAGGGGGAGTTAAGTTCTGTTGGTTAACTGGGACACATTGGGGAGAGTTAAGTACTGTTGGTTAACTGGGACACATTGGGGAGAGTTAAGTACTGTTGGTTAACTGGGACACATCAGGGGGAGTTAAGTACTGTTGGTTAACTGGGACACATTGGGGAGAGTTAAGTACTGTTGGTTAACTGGGACACATCAGGGGGAGTTAAGTACTGTTGGTTAACTGGGACACATCAGGGGGAGTTAAGTTCTGTTGGTTAACTGGGACACATCGGGGAGAGTTAAGTACTGTTGGTTAACTGGGACACATCAGGGAGAGTTAAGTACTGTTGGTTAACTGGGACACATCAGGGGGAGTTAAGTACTGTTGGTTAACTGGGACACATCAGGGGGAGTTAAGTACTGTTTGTTAACTGGGACACATCAGGGAGAGTTAAGTTCTGTTGGTTAACTGGGACACATCAGGGAGAGTTAAGTTCTGTTGGTTAACTGGGACACATTGGGGAGAGTTAAGTACTGTTGGTTAACTGGGACACATTGGGGGGAGTTAAGTACTGTTGGTTAACTGGGACACATCAGGGAGAGTTAAGTTCTGTTGGTTAACTGGGACACATTGGGGAGAGTTAAGTACTGTTGGTTAACTGGGACACATTGGGGAGTGTTAAGTACTGTTGGTTAACTGGGACACATTGGGGGGAGTTAAGTACTGTTGGTTAACTGGGACACATCGGGGAGAGTTAAGTACTGTAGGTTAACTGGGACACATTGGGGAGAGTTAAGTACTGTTGGTTAACTGGGACACATTGGGGAGAGTTAAGTACTGTTGGTTAACTGGGACACATTATGGTCAGTTAAGTACTGTTGGTTAACTGGGACACATTCGGGGGAGTAAAGTACTGTTGGTTAACTTGGACACCTTAGGGGGAGTTAAGTACTGTTGGTTAACTGGGACACATTGGGGAGAGTTATGTACTGTTGGTTAACTGGGACACATTGGGGAGAGTTAAGTACTGTTGGTTAACTGGGACACATTGGGGAGATTTATGTACTGTTGGTTAACTGGGACACATCAGGGAGAGTTAAGTACTGTTGGTTAACTGAAAAAATGAATGGAATTAAGTACTGTTGGAAGTTGATGTCTCTAACATCAGCCATTGATGTTTTTAGTCCAGACTTTATTATTGATCATGTCGACTGGTACTGGTTGTCACTTAGATATATACCATGATCTACAGCGACAAATCAGTTTTGTAAAAAATATGCTTGCTAAACATGCTAAAAGAGTAGATTAACATGTGTCTGTTTGCTTTGAGGAAATGTACAAGTCACTAATTTGTCCACTCCACTGTCCGAATTAGCTGCCTGGCTTGTAACATGTATGTCAGGATAGGGGAATTATATTCCTACCTGCCTGACAATCTAGTAGAAAATGTCATTGCTACCATTGTCATAGTAAAGCTGTACACATTAGAGGCACAGAGTAGAGAACATCTGAGAACAACGATAAAGATTATCAACTCAAGCATGTCGTTAGTCGTTACAAAGTCGAACCTGCAACTTTCAACACAGGCTAGTTATAAATACCAGTCACAAGCTAGCCTGGCATGTACCTCATCGTATCCCAAATGTGTTGATCGATGATCGTGATATCAATCACTGGATTGTCTGGTCCAGACTTGATTATTTTCAGACTGCTGGAATATTGCTGAGTGCGGCGTTAAACAGCAAACCAACAAACAATGCTAGTCTGGCTTGTTGGGAGTAAATATTATTTCCGAGAGTACTAGGTCCGCTATTAACGCTGTTTGTAACCATGGTAACTGATGATATACCTGTGAATCCTCTTCTTCAGCACCAAGGGGAAGTATGGAGAAGGCGAGTCCCAGGAGAAGTTCCGCTTCACCCTCGCCCTGGTGTTTGTGCAGTGCATCATCAATGCCATCTTCGCATTGTGTGGTAAGTCGCTGTTTCTCTTGCATGTCAATCAAGCGAGCACACTCAGACAGGTTGAGGAATTATCTGAAGCTGTGTTTTTATCTTTAAAATTAGGAGGCAGTCCAGAGAATATTGCTGCACATACATATTGAGTCCCAAGATCACAGATCCTTTGTGTAGGGAGTCGGTCGTTACTGAGTTGCATCTGTACCCTGCCCTTGTGATGTCCTTGACGTAATCTTCGTTAGAATATACACTTTACATACACATTCTCAGAATGCTTACTATTGCTTCCTAAATCCATTTTTATCTGACAAGAATGAGGAAAAAACAGGAGGCAGTCGTGGTATTGGATATGAGTTATTGAAACCACTGGTAATGGTGTTCAGCAGTAGGAGTGAGTGAGTATGGTTTTACGCCGCTTTTAGCAATATTCCATCAATATCACGGCGGGGGACACCAGAAATGGGCTTCACACATTGTACCCATATCGAATCGAACCGGGGTCTTCGGCTTGACAAGCGAATGCTTTAACCACTAGGCTCCCCAAACCACCTCTTTAGCAGTAGCAGGCTACTGAGATGGTCATGGATACTTATGAGGGTCACATCACACTACAGACCTTCACTTCTTTGTGGAGAAAAATCCATATAGTGTACAGTCCTGGAGTCCTTCACTGTTATCCCCAGGCACGAAATGAAAGAGGGATACAGAAATGAGTGCTGTCCATCCATCTGTCACGTTTAAATTCCAGAGCATTACTCAGCATGCTCAGAAACCGTTTAACAATTTGATATAAAGTTTGTATATGTATCAAACTAAGGGTGAAATGATACACCGATATTCCGATGCATCGCGATACTTGACCCACGATACGATATACGATAAACATGGGCCAATTTATCAATGCGCCACGATACGAAACGCAAATCTCAAGTACAGCGTTTCCTCGCTATTGTGCCTTTCAATAAACCGCTAACTTGGTTATAGCGTGTGGTAACACATGGCTCCCAAAAACGTACTTACATTTTTAATAAGCTCAGGTTTTACACTGACAGATGTTTTTATCTTGTTATTAAAACATGTTCATTGTATATCTGGACATGTGTTTGTAATATATTTTATTAATTTCATTCAAAATTTCATTTAGTATTGTTTTCATTAAGTTAGGTGAAATCGTGTGTGAAAGATACAGCAACCACGGTCAGATTACCGCATTTGACACTTTGAAACAAACTTTAGTTGCTAAAGAATGGATCCATATATTAAAAATACAAAATTTGACTCGTTAAAAGTAATATTTGTGGCAATTTGGCTTATATATATGTCAACATAACATTTTCGTAATCGAAATACCTGTCGCGCGGGAAGTCTCTACGGTGACTGGTCAAATTGTCCCATATGTAAAAAAAGCCTGCAACAGCAATCACCAGTACCAAAATGCTACGCTTGTGGTTTTTATAATATTAAATACATATATAGTAAAAGCTGCAACTAAAGTAACACGATTCTGGAATATATTATTCCTGATAAAACAATAATTTCAGATACAATTTCTTCGACCATTGCATAAAAATTCTTTGAAGTTGTATCACTGGTGAAGTACATTAATTATTTTCTGGTGTTTGAACTTTGAATTGTTTTGAAGGAAAGTAAGAGAAAGTTCCACTTTGAAGCTTAACAACTTCAGTAGTCTTGTTATTATAAAATAATGTTGACTGTTCAAAAATCATGAAAGGTTCAATCTTGACATGCTTTAAGTCTTGTTTTTGTATCATTGCAACTATTGTGACCAGAATATCGAAATGCGTATCGTATCGTGACCTTCCTGTATCATTGCAGCCCTATATCAAACACATGATGAACTGATGCCTTTTGATGTCGACGTATTTTGTAAAACTAAAGAATTTTTTGCTTCCTTGTTTTAATTAGTGTACAGTGTCAATTTGTCAACAGGGACAATTTTTCTTAGAAACTAAAGTTACATGAGTTTTAAACATGATCTTCATATTATTCACTACTATATGAACAAACAAAATTCTAATGTGCCCCATGGTGGGAGATTGTGATAATGCTGTTTCTTGTGTGATGTGATTATGTGAACTATTTAGCTTTTCAATACAAATGTATTTACAGCTCGCAAGATCTTTCAGCGGGAACGTGACTCCACGCCGCGCACTCTGTATGCCATGTGCTCGCTCACCTACCTGGGCGCCATGCTGGCCAGCAACCACGCCCTCCAACATGTCGCCTACCCGACTCAGGTGGGTACATCTGTAACAGCAGTATATATCGGAATGGGTCCGTCTGTCAATTTCGTTTCGGGAGCAGAACCATGAAAGATATCTTAACTAGACGTGGCACATAGATAGGTCTAGTGGTGAACTGGTGCCTAATGATAATTTGGGATTTTTAAAAAATATTTTTGGTAGGAGCTGATCTTGAAAACTGTACAATATTTCTTTACCAAACTTGGCACACAGATAGGTCCAGTGGTAAACTTGTGCCTTATGATAGTTTGGGATTTAAAAAAAAAAAATGTTTTCGAGTTTCCACAGCAACAACTTTGACTTAGACTGAAAATGGCAGTAGTGCTCGTAGTAGTGTAGCAAGCAGGAGTTGGGAATATGAAAATAATGTACTTTTGGTCTAATACAGTCTTATATTTGTTTTTTAATTTTTGCACTCCTAAGGTTTACAAATCAATACAAATTACTGCACAGCAATTACAATGGCAGTACACAATGGAATGGTAGTACAGTGGTCCCTCGCTACAACGCTACCAATGGGGTCCAAATAATTGGTGGGCGTTATAGACGATGAGCCGTTTAACCGAGGCCGAGGCGGGGGAGCGCGCTCGGCAAATCTCAAATCATCAATGTGTTTATCTCACGTCACGTCAAAATAGTATATATTTTTTATGGACCTAGATCTACCTGTAATATCATTCATTTATTAAATCTGTCACATTTCACAATGTCTGAAATACGTATTCCATTTCAATTTATCATTTTTTATCGATAAATTAAAAGATTATTCACTATTTCCCGCGATGTTATTGAAAATAAAATTCTCGGACACACATTTCGACAACGGGTCCGCATTGAACATGTCAAAGAGCAAAATAAAGAAGTTTTAAGCAAATCTTTAAATATATTACACAAAGTGATAAATAAAATCAACAAAAATATATCTAAAAGTAATCAAACTTACATCTAAGTTATTATTTCCATCGTTTCGTGCGATCGCGTGTTATGTAAGTCAAATGACATCTCGGCTTTCGTCGCCTTGAATTCTCGGCTCGGACACAACATTTAATGCAAAAATATATGCATGAAAAATCTTTGTCACAGCTCGTAACCTAGCACAATACATTCGCGAAGTTCCATATTTTTAATATATATCGTGATTTCCTGCTTAAAACCTTCAGAATAACACGATTTAACAAAAAAATCTTTCGCCAACTTCTGAAATTTATCAAACACGAGCTTGGTATCACAGCTATAATTTGATTGGCTGCCTGAGGTCACATGCTAAAAATTGACCTATCACGAAACTTGTAGCAGATTTCGGCAAGAAAGCGTCATTAGAAACAAATTTTAATCCAATGAAATCGCTTGTTATAACTACGGAAAAAAAACAGGCGATGTTACGAAAGCGCGATTACGAAATGAATGACCGCCGTGTTGTGACAGCAACTACATGTGTGTGACAGTGTCGCCTCAAATTGGATTGCCCACTAATTAAGAATATAAACTTCGCTTGTGGTTCTCTTTTATTGCATGCATGCGCTTCTAAGATCAAAGGATGTATAGTGTGAAAAGTTAACTAGTTGAACAATCGTATTTCCGGGACTTGCCGCGGATGTTTTCAAACAGATTATTAGAACTCCATTCAGCGATAAACGGTTGATTATGCAATGAGAAGCGTTATGTGCAAATGAACAACGAACAACACTACAATTATGTCTGTGTAAAACTCTCAGTAATAAAAGTGTACATAAATTTTGGGAGCCATGCGTTACCGCGCGTAGTAACCGAGGTAGCGCTTTATCGAAGAGCACAATAGCGAGGGATCACTGTACAATATTCAATGGCAGTATAAAATTATGAAAGCAACGGCAATAACAGTGACAAGAATGATGATCACCTCGCCACAACAGTAGTCAAGCTTCTGAGATAGGCCAAGGCTGATCCCCAGGGTGAAAAGTGATCTCCACACAAAAGCTGTTTTTTGTGACATGAGACGGGGACGCATCCATCCTGCTAATATAGTCTAACCAGCTTCCAGTACTTTCCACACAGTGCCAGATCAGTCCAGTGTCCCTTGAACATCACAGAATATTCCCCATGTTTCTATAGTGCTTGACATCCATCTGCTACTCTGGAAGTTTACAGATAATTCGAGCATCTATATATAATAACTTCCTCACCACTGCTAACATTAAATAGTACTATATTCCTGACAACTAATCATTGTTCAAATACATTTCAATTATCTTCAGTTATTTCAGTTATCTACAGTCATTTTTTAACAATAAGTTACACTGCCATATAACACAGTACAGTATCATTTTATGCTTAAAAATCCACTAATATGTTAACAGATGTTGTTTTTTATCAGATTGTGATATGTTACTCATTTTGAATAGTATCAAATTGTCGTATAGACCGTCTGGATTTCTAATGCGCCTAAAACACAACTAAAACAACTACATTAACTACTACTGCTGCTACTACTACTACTACTACTACATCTACTACTACATCTGGATTCCCAATGCGCCTAAAACATAACCAGTAAAACTACAATAATTACTACTACTACTTCTACTTCTACTTCTACTTCTACTTCTACATTTACTTTTACTTTTACTTTTACTTTTACTTTTACTTCTACTTTTACTTCTACTACCACTACTACTACTACCACTGCTACTACTACTACACCTGGATTCCTAATGCGCCTAAAACACAACCAGTAAAACTACTACTACTACTACTACTACTACTACTACTACTACTACTACTACTACTACTACTACTACTACTACTACTACTACTCTACTTGCCACTACTACTACTGCCACTACTACAATTAAGACCACATACCAATACTACAACAACAGATTGAAATTGTAATCATGCTTTCCCCTTTGTCCGCTATTGTAAATCTGTTGAAAGGTAAATGCATGTGTCAAGTTGTGAACATGATACTTTTAACAAAACTAAGGTATGCTCTCTTTTGTGTCCACATATAATACCTGTGTCAGTGTTGGGTGTGGGAACGAAGTGACTGAAAAGCAAATCAGCTTGCCATACCGTTGGCATTTCAAACATCAGCGTTTAAATGATTGAAATGTGATTTATATCTGACATTGATGTCTTTTCAATTACACTTGAAATGCCTCGTCCTGTGTGAATAGCCCCTTAGTTTTATTGTATGCCTATGCCTATTGTATGCAGACTGTAAAAAGGCACATAGACATACAGGAACACTGCAACCCTTAAGAAATACATGTACGTGTATTCACAAGTCTCTTCCATGACAGACTAGCTTTTCCTGTTTGAGTTTGACTTATGAGATGTCAGAACTGTGGGGAATCTAGACTTGCTTCATTTAGGGCTATAGCATTACAGTAAGGGCTGGGCGAAAGGGAAAATAATATTGTTCAGGGACTGTGAGACAGACTAAGTTTGAGTGTGTATTTGTGAATAGATGTTATCATTACAAAAATAATGAAAATAAACTGTGATGTACATCAATGTATATGCTCCTGCATGTAGGCTATGTAATAACACATCTTGTTTGGTGAACCCTGAATTATGTACTATTTGCTATGGAGACAACCCCCCTCTTAATCTGGATTAAGCGAGACACTGGACTAACACTTTGTCAATAAAAACATTTCTTTAAAACAAAACTAACAATGCCAACAAAACAAACAATACTTACGAAACTAACGAAACTTACAAAACTAACAATACTAATAAAACTTACAAAAACTAACAATACTTACAATACTAACAATACTTACAAAACTAACAATACTTCTAACTCTAGTTTTGAGTATATTCATAACTACTGCTAACTCTAGTATTGAGTATATTCATAACTACTACTAACTCTAGTATTGAGTATAGTCATAACTTCTACTAACTCTAGTATTGAGTATATTCATAACTACTACCAACTCTAGTATTGAGTATAGTTATAACTACTACTAACTCTAGTATTGAGTATATTCATAACTACTACTAACTCTAGTATTGAGTATATTCATAACTACTGCTAACTGTAGTATTGAGTATAGTCATAACTACTACTAACTCTAGTATTGAGTATAGTCATAACTACTACTAACTCTAGTATTGAGTATAGTCATAACTACTACTAACTCTAGTATTGAGTATAGTCATAACTACTACTAACTCTAGTATTGAATGTAGCCATAACTACTGCTAACTTTAGTATTGAGTATATTCATAATTACTACTAACTCTAGTATTGAGTATAGTTATAACTACTACTAACTCTAGTATTGAGTATAGTAATAACTACAAGTAACAACTTTTTCTCCTGAAGTCATGTATCCCAGTCATGTATGGCCGTCATGGGTTGTTACCATGGTTACAAGCAGCACATATTATGAAGGGACCTTGGATTGACACATTACAGCAACTCTCGTCCATCATATGTTACATGATGTTATGTAGTTTCACATTTTTCCTCAGGTCCTCGGTAAATCCGTCAAACCAATTCCTGTTATGATTCTGGGAGTTTTATTGGCAAGGAAGAGCTACCCCATGGCCAAGTACTTCTGTGTGCTTCTGATCGTGATGGGCGTCGCCATGTTTATGTACAAGGACCAGGCCCACACAACTAAGGGAGATCACGCCGGCCTGGGGATGGGCGAGTTCCTGCTGGTAAGTTCTTGTGTGCCAAGTATTACTGCAACATAGCTGAATAATATCATGTTGTGCTAGCATTTCAGGTGAGGTTAGGTGAGGTGAAATGGGGTTTAATGTAGCGTCCAAGGTTATTGCGCTTATATCGTAGCGTGAATGCACATGTGTGTGTGTGTGTGTGTGTGTGTGTGTGCGTGCGTGCGTGCCTGCGTGCGTGCTCGCACACACTTGTACTAGTCCGGACTGATGTCAATTTTATAGTGCTAGCCCACTGAGATACCATGCCACAGTTAATCATGAATACCCCACTCAGACACAGTAGTATACTCACTCCGAGCCGACCAGTCCTTGTTTTAGCCCCGTAATGCTGACCCAAGACAGGGTAACAACAAGTACCACCTTTTAACGTCTTTTGGTATGACGCGGCCAGGGATCTACAGACCTTTTGCTCTTCGAGCAGACGCTCGTCCACTAGTTTCCGACACATGGAGAGAGTGTCCGACACATGGAGAGATGATCCTAGGAGTCTGTCACTGCTGCACTTCATCTGTGTTAGCAGCATCAGTGTCGGTGTCTTTTAGTCACATGAAATCACATTAAGTTACAGTATTTGATAGGGATGTCTATCGATCTAGATCATAGAGATCGATAATCGCTTAACTAAATATCGATCAATTATTGATAAATATCGGAAAAGGAACTTTCAGCAAATAAACAAGAAAGTTCCGAAAGAAATCAACATATTTCACGCCACTGGTGAGCAGTGACACATTTATGCATGAATTACTTCGTGGACATTTGAGATATGACAAAAACTATTGTTTTCCGTCTTTGACAATGGACATTATTGACTATGACAAGTCTGTTTCCTTAAGTCCGAACTGTATTTCATCACAATAGTTTATTTGAGTTATTATCGATGACAATAGTTTCATATCGATAATCATTAATATTTCTTCCTATCGGGCGATAATTCCGATCATCAATCTCTTTCCAGCCCTAGTGTTTGAGTTCATGCAATGTCAGACCAATGGCTATACTGGTGTGCCCACACCCTAGCTTACTGGACATTGTACACCATGGGAGATCAGTGTACATTGGTTGATGGATCATGTTGTTTTCACATTATTTGACCTTCGTTTACAGCTAGTGTCCTTGACCTTGGATGGCCTGACAGGAGCGTCCCAGGATAAGATGAGGTCTGAGCATAAGACAGGGGCATACAGCATGATGCTGTTTGTCAACGCCTGGTCCATCATCTGGCTAGCCATTGGTGAGATGTACTGCCTTCTTACGTCCAGCGTGGACTCTAGGGGACGCCAGGGTGGACTATGCAGGGCACGACCAGTGAAGATGTAGACCAGTGTAGAATAGGTCCTCATCAACCCGTGTTTGTTGTAAAAGGCGACTAATGGGATCGGGTGGTCAGGCTCGCTGACTTGGTTGATGCATGTCATCGTATCCCAATTGCATAGATAGATACTCATATCAATCACTGGATTACAGACCGCCACCATATAGCTGGAATATTGCCAAGTGCGGTGTTAATCAACAAACAATACTCTAGAGCGTGCCACTCACTCACTCACTCACTCACTCACTCACTCACCCACCCACCCACCCACCCACTCACTCACTCACCCACTCACCCATCCACTCTCTCACTCACCAAACCACCCACCCACCCACTCACTCACTCACTCACTCACTCACTCACTCACTCAGCTGGCATTAAATGTTAACTCTCTCACCCACCTCACTCATGTACCTTAGTTTGTGATTGATTGAAAGCAGCATTGTCTGGTGATAGCATGCAGCTGCCATAACATAAACAATCACTTTTCCAATAGATGTAACTGTATGGTAACAGATGGGTCACATTATATACTTTTATGGGAATTTCTTTTCACATTTTATTGCTCATTGATCCCTTAATATACACATGTGCTGCATTGTTCAATCTAACAAATTTAAAAAAAAAAAGATACTCTGTGTTTGTGCAGGTCTGGTGACAACGGGCGAAGGTTTTGAGTTCCTGAGTTTTGCTGGTCGCAACCCTTCAGTGTACTTCAACATGATTTCATTCTCCATAGCAAGTGCCTTGGGACAGGTAGGTACCCTTTGATTGTGGTGAATTGTTCCCGGTGATCGGGTAGGTCTACCGTCAATCTGGTGTTGAAACGTTCCTGGGGATCGGGTAGGTCTACTGTCAATCTGGTGTTGAAACGTTCCTGGGGATCGGGTAGGCCTACTGTCAATCTGGTGTTGAAATGTTCCTGGTGATCGGGTAGGCCTACCGTCAATCTGGTGTTGAAATGTTCCTGGTGATCGGGTAGGCCTACCGTCAATCTGGTGTTGAGACGTTCCTGGTGATCGGGTAGGTCTACCGTCAATCTGGTGTTGAGACGTTCCTGGGGATCGGGTAGGTCTACCGTCAATCTGGTGTTGAAACGTTCCTGGGGATCGGGTAGGTCTACTGTCAATCCGGTGTTGAAACGTTCCTGGGGATCGGGTAGGTCTACCGTCAATCCAGTGTTGAAATGTTCCTGGGGATCGGGTAGGTCTACCGTCAATCCAGTGTTGAAATGTTCCTGGGGATCGGGTAGGTCTACCGTCAATCCGGTGTTGAAACGTTCCTGGGGATCGGGTAGGTCTACTGTCAATCTGGTGTTGAAATGTTCCTGAGGACTGGGTAGGTCTACTGTCAATCCGGTGTTGAAATGTTCCTGAGGACCGGGTAGGTCTACCGTCAATCTGGTGTTGAAATGTTCCTGGTGATTGGGTAGGTCTACTGTCAATCCAGTGTTGAAATGTTCCTGGGGACCGGGTAGGTCTACCGTCAATCTGGTGTTGAAACGTTTCTGGGGTTTTGGTAGTCTACCGTCAGTTTGATTTGGTCCAGAAATTATAAGACAAGCTGATTTCCAGTAACCATGGTAACATCCAGTGCCAGGATCTGCTGGTCGGGGTCTCCAGATTCATGCTCGTCAGCACCATGCTCCTTCCTGTCAATTCGGGCTTTCTTCCCACATCAAGCTGACACTTAGGGGCATAACTGTTTGTTAAGTAAGAATATTGTCTGTATTTTCCTGGGGTCGAGTGGCTATTGTTTATATTACTTCAAAACATATATCAGTGGTCGTCACTTAGGATCTGTGTCAATGTTCGTTGCCTGTATGAGAACCGCCCAGTCAGCCATTGCATGTATAAATCTGCATGTCAAAAGTCACAACATACCTTCCAACAGTGATTTTAGTGATGTGACTTTAGTTTCACCAATGAATATGTTTTTCTACCCTCAGACCTTCATCTTCATCACCGTGACAACGTTTGGACCGCTCACATGCTCCATTGTCACGACAACGAGGAAGTTCTTCACTATACTAGGATCTGTGTTGATATTTGGCAACCCCATGCTGTCTCGACAGTGGGTAGGAACCTTGTTGGTGTTTGTGGGTTTAGCACTAGACTCAGTGTTTGGCAAAGAAAAGAAGAAGAACAAATGATCTGACGTCTCCTAGCTGAATGACAAGGTGTAGGATGCTTGGATGTGATCAGTAAGCCTCAATGGATGAATGTGGATGAAATGACAAAGCTCAAGAAGGACGGAAGAAGCTTTCTTGATTGTTGGAACACACACAGGGACCAATGTATTTATTTGTTTGTTACTGTGTACTTTTAGTACCAAAGCTTATCACTGAGGATGCTGAATGGACTGCTTTTAATGAGTGTAGATGGGTTGTGCTGAACGTTTTTATGATATGCCTGATATAATGTGTAATACTTGTTCATTTTTTAACCTCAATATTTTAGTTAAGGCTTAAGTTTAGAAATGATTAGTTAAAGTTTCTTTGAGAGGCATTTAGAAGTTGGTATAATGATAAGGTATATGGATGAACAACTTCTCTATTACAATAAGTGGCGATTTTTTGGTGTAGGTTTTAGAAATTACATAAACCTAGAAATTTACGATCTTTCAACTCTGTTTTTTTTCTCGACAAAAAAATATTCTAATAAGAGCCCCCTATTTCTAATTTTGAGAGCGCCCTGGGCGCTTATTACGTGGAATATGGTATGTACATATTAGTCAAATCCAAGTTGTGTCTATAAAGTTGTTATGTGTTGTATGAGTTGCTGCAAGTCTCCATGAACTGTTGAGAAGAGAGGTTGACAATCACAATGTGTGTTGTGAGGTTCTGTTACCATAGGAAAACACTGAAGACCAAGAGGTTCAGATTATGACTTGTTATTTAAAGGATGTATACTGTACACTTGGATACCCACAAGGCCAGTGGCAGGGGTCAATGACCTGAAACTAAATGTTGAGCATGGGGCTACGCTTCTGTCACTGGCCAATAATGTTCTCTTGACCCTGAAGCAAGGGTGGGGTTGCCAAGATATGGGAGTCAAGATGAGGTTCGAAGATGGGGTTCCAAAATGGGGGACCAAGATGGGGTAGCCTAGATGGGGTTGCCAAGATTGGGTACCAAGATGGGGTAGCCTAGATGGGGTTGCCAAGATGGGGGACCAAGATGGGGTAGCCTAGATGGGGTTGCCAAGATGGGGGACCAAGATGGGGTAGCCTAGATGGGGTTGCCAAGATGGGGTAGCCTAGATGGGGTTGCCAAGATTGTGTGGAACCTATGTCTGGCTGTACTGTGGCTTAAATATTGGTAACTATTACCTCAGTTTGAAAGGATGTGTGCGTAAGTGTACTCATTCACTATTCAAAGTTGACCTTATGAGTCTCCTGCAGTAACTGAGCACTGAAGATGCAACATTCTGTGCCTTTAGACAGGTGATACACACACTGTATGTGTGGTAAAGATTATTGTTTCCATGGTGGTGAGAGAATTGTTTTATATTTATCACATATATTTGTTTGGTGTTCAGTGTAACCATGGTAACCTGGTTTGCATGCTGTTTTGGTGGATGAATAATTTCCTTTTTAAAAACATTCTTGCTGTATCTACATTGTCCATTCTGCTGTTATGTCTGTCTCAGAGCTGAACCCATACCTATGGATGGTTCAAACAGGTAACTTCTAAAACCTTGTCTCATTGTTTGAGGGGGCACGGGTGGTCCAATAGTCTTAGGAGCCACAATTCACTGTGCAGAGTTGCTTCCCTTGGCAACGCCAGAAACCTATGATTGTGGGTTCGAATCCCAGTTGGCCCCGATTATGTTTCTAGGTTCACTCACTCACTCACTCATTGTCTGAAATGGATCACTGTAAGTTTTTGTCCTGTCTGGCTATGTATGTAAGACAAATGCATCTCACATTTCTACACAATACCAGAGTCTCATGTTCGTACGGCGATATAGCCTGGTGATTATTGTGTTCGTTTGTCATACCGAAGACTCAGGTATTTACATGAAGCTCTGTAAGGCAATCGTAGCTAGGACAAGGTCTGGTTGCGTTGCTCATGTGGGGCATGTGTAGCCTAGTCGTCTAAGGCGCCGCAGTTAGCTCTGCAGAGTTGCGCGGCAGAAACCTATGATCATAGGTTCGAATCTAAGTTCATCCAGATTATGTTTCTAGATTTATCAGCACCATGCCCGTGCTCGTGGGTTTCACATTGGAGATGTGCATCACTTCAGCCTTACCTCCTACTTAAAGCTGACATGCTGTGATATAACTGGAATAATGTTCAAAGCAGCATTAACTAAAACTCCCTCACTCACTCCACGTGCAATGAAGGCAGACATTTACTGAATCGGGGGCTGGTCCTTGATCATGGGGCTTTCCGAAATGGAATAAATTTGTTAAATTGTATATATACACTATTTTCGTGTGTCAAATGACCCATACACATGGATGTTGTAATGACAGACTTTGCTGATACTGGTGATATACTTCTGTGAATTTTCACCTGGTGTTGTGTTTCTTTGAGATGGACCCTGTGGAAACCCAGTGTCCAGTGGGTGCAGGTACGACAGGTCAATACTAGCATGACCATTTGTAATTACAGGGATTCCTCTCAACCACCTCGGAGGCCAATATTCAGCATTACGTCTGCAGGGGCAGTGGGGTAGCCAAGTGGTTAAGGTGTTCACTCATCACGCTGAAAACCCGGGTTCGATTCCCCACATGGGCGTAATGTGTGAAGCCCATTGCTGGGGTCACTGGCTGTGAAATTGCTTGAATATTGCTGAAAGCAGCGTAAAACTTTACTCACTCACTCACTGAAGTCTGCAGCACATTATCAGTTAGAATTCCCAAATTGGTATCACAAATGCATGCAATTACAGTCGTAACTAACATAATGGCATGTGGGGGAATAGTATTCAGTATTCAGTTACACATTATTGCATTCATCTTCCCGAGGCAAGAGAGTTTACTGACTATAAAAGTCCAGTTCCCACCCTTGCTGAACTAGGCTGGTATTATGGAGTTACGTTTTGTCTGGACTAACGAGTCTATGCATAGTCCAATCAAAATAGCGCACCGAAATCAAAATCCGGTTTGTAAACTGTCGTGCAGATTTCGATCGATTGCAGGGTTTGCAAAGCATGTGCATCGCCAATTCGTTGTCAGCAGATATTTTCCAAATCTTTTCATGTTTTTAATCAAGGTGCTCACGTGATTTGATGCATTTCGCGATGTAAGACTCGGCGTCACCATTTTGTGTGAAGCAAACGCAAGTGATACGAGAGGTGGAATCTGATTGGTCCATAGGAGAGGCTTAGAAGGGACATAATTGGTTATAACTTATAGCCACTGGTGGCGCAACGATCAAGCCCAGTAATTCCAGCCTAGTGGAAGGTGGAAACTGGACTTTCAAACTCCCTTGCCTCGGGAAGATGTATTGCATTGAATGCATTGTGAAATACTTCTGAAGTCAGGAGTTCTTAATTTCCTATTTTTAACATTTACCATGTTTTCCGAGTTTGCTGCCAAGGCCACTTAAAGTTTGAAATCAGATAGTTCCCTGACTATGTATGTGTTGATCTGGATCTTTCAGTATAGCTTCTCATGGCTTCAGATGTTGACCACTCCGGAGACACTTTGCATGGTGCTGACAAGGTCTTTCAGGACCAAACCGGCAGTAGTCTGGACTAGTCCAGGCAGATATGCACATGTGCATGTTTCTGTGTAAACGCAATAGTTTTTTACACAAAGTTAAACCCAGTAAATTTAGATGACAGTACATCAGGGTATGAGAACACACAAGATCACAAACTATAACCACCCAACTATCTCTGACAAGTCTTAAACCATGTGGGGACTCCCGATATCACAGCTAGTATATAGCCTAGTATATTGACCATGTGGTCTGGCTCAATGACTTACCCATGAAGATCTGGGTAGAGGATAGGCCTGCAGCAGCCCATTGCCATTAGAGGCGACTAACTGTATTGACCTTAGTTTGTTTGTTGTTTAACGCTGCACTCAGCAATATTCCAACCATATGATGGCAGTCTGTGAATAATCGATTCTGAACCAGACAATCCAGTGATTGGTGACCTTTTCAAAGGTCAGTATCAAACTATCAGGTGGTCTGGCTCAATGACTTACTTGACTGCGTGTACCCTGACAGTGTTGGATGTTGCTCACAGTGTCACTGGATTGTCTGGTCCAGAGCTTGCCACCATCATATTGGCTGGAATATTGCTGAGTGCAACATTAACATCAACTAAACTTAGGGCCACAAAACACAGACACTCGGTGAGTCGACCTTCAAGTTTATTGAAGAGCTTCCTGGGGTCAAGGCCAGGTGATGAAGGTAGCTGGTACCAGGATGAGTTTATACAATGATCACATCACACACATCGTCAAAAAAATAAAACAGGATCTGGAATACTTTACACCTATACACATGTATCAACAGCCTTGGGCAGCACAACACACTGTCACAAGTACACCACACAAGTATAGCTCCTACAGACACCCTGTGTGACAATCAAGACCAGAGCCCACATGCACAAAACAATCTTAGCACTAAGACCTTCGTAACCCCCATACTTTAACATAGACCTACAACAGTAGCACTAAGACCTTCGTAACCCCCATACTTTAACATTGACCTACAACAGTAGCACTAAGACCTTCGTAACCCCCATACTTTAACATAGACCTACAACAGTAGCACTAAGACCTTCGTAACCCCCATACTTTAACATAGACCTACAACAGTAGCACTAAGACCTTTGTAACCCCCATACTTAAACATAGACCTACAACAGTAGCACTAAGACCTTTGTAACCCCCATACTTTAACATAGACCTACAACAGTAGCACTAAGACCTTCGTAACCCCCATACTTTAACATAGACCTACAACAGTAGTACTAAGACCTTCGTAACCCCCATACTTTAACATAGACCTACAACAGTAGCACTTAGACCTTCGTAACCCCCATACTTTAACATAGACCTACAACAGTAGCACTAAGACCTTCGTAACCCCCATACTTTAACATAGACCTACAACAGTAGTACTAAGACCTTCGTAACCCCCATACTTTAACATAGACCTACAACAGTAGTACTAAGACCTTCGTAACCCCCATACTTTAACATAGACCTACAACAGTAGTACTAAGACCCTCGTAACTCCCATTCTTTAACATAGTGCTACTGTTGTAGGTCTGAGATCATCGTAACTCTCATACTTCAGAGCTAAAATTTCTTTGTGCATGTGGGTCAAAGGACCCATTTGAGAAAGTATGCAAGTTACGATGATCGTAGCACTAAGATCACTTTGTGAAACATGGCCCAGGTCAGACCTGGTAAGTACTGACAATATAGAAGTGCAAACTGTGACAATAATGCTAATCAATACTCAGACTTTCATTCTCTCATTATGACACAACATTTCATCAAACTTGGCACATCTCTAACATTATGGGTCAATATGGATTTACTCCACTGACATAGGTGTGTGCGAGACAAGCCAACACCAAATAAACATGAAACCCAACCGCCCCCTATATCATAATGCAATACTCTGAACAAGTGCCCCTTTAGTGCACCTGATGTGATGGAATTTTGCTCAGCTGATATTCCTTGTCAACATTCACATTACCATGGTAACAGATTCAGATGATATTCCTTGTCAACATACACATTACCATGATAACATATTCAGAATCAACCAATTCCCCCCTATAAAATACCAGTGAAAAGACTTACCTCCCATACACTGGGATTCCTTTAGAATAAAATAGGTTTATAATGGAGGTTCAGTCACTGATTCCCCGAAAAGACATTTTTAAAGAAATAGATCAAGGCAGGCATTTACAAAAAATCATTTTAAGTCTGAAAAATATGCAAATGTTTTGTGCAGTGTTTTAGTGATACAAAAGTTGCCCAAAGACGAGGGTGTTTATGAAATCAAAACTTCATTGAATTTCTTTTATTCACAGCGCGCACTTTATGGTCAGTTAACTCCCTTGCCCTAGGAAGATGTCCACAATGACACCCATCATCGTTATTTCAGGGTATTTCAGTGTAAACCAAGACAAACGTTCCAAATGCAGAAATGATTGCTGACAAAGCCAAGCAAACCACTGTTGCCAGTGTAGTGCATTCCTCTGTGTCACATGAGTGATTGAGTGAGTTGGGTTTAACGCCGCTTTTAACAGTATTCCAGTTATATCACGGTGTGTCAGCTTATTGTGGGAGGAAAGCCCGAAGTGATGCAGGTCTCCGACGTTTACCACTTTGGAGAAACCCACTAGCACGGGTATGGTGCTGACAAACCTAGAAACATAATCGGGGCTAACCGGGATTTGAACCCACAATCATAGGTTTCTGGTGTGCCCAAGGGACGCAACTCTGCACAGCGAATCGCGGCGCCTTAGACGACTGGGACACCTGTGCCCCCTGTGTCACATGACCATGCAAGGAGGGTATTATTTGATGTCAGCTGATTCGGTCACGCATGCCATTCTCTGGTCTACAAATTAAGAGCAGACACATTAAATAATTATTTTTTTACACATATATAATACTACCACTGGAGTAAAATGTGTCTTAAAACATACATACATTTGATGTCTCGCATAAACAGATATTTTGTATGAAACGTACCGATACTTCATGTTAAACCAAAAGGTAAACACACATTTTGAATAAATTGATGATGGATGTATTTCCCATTCCAGTCCCCACAGCCCTAACAGACTTTACCATATCAGTACACAAAAAAATTCAAAGTGCTTTTTTTCTTCTCTTATTTTCCCCCAAACTGACTTCAACCAGCTAATGAAGTCTGGTGAGGTGAGGTGAAATTGGGTTTAACGTCGCGTCCAAGATTATTGCACTTATATAGCGACGTGCATGCACGTGTATGTGTGTGTGTGGCTGCTTGTACTAGTCCGGACTGATGCCGATTTATAGTGCTAGCTCACTGAGATACCATGCCGCAGTTTAACATGAATACCCCACTCAGACACAGTATACTGACTCCGAGCCGACCAGTCCTTGTTTTAGCCCCTTAATGCCGAGCGCCAGACAGGGTAACAACAAGTACAATCTTTTAACGTCTTTTTGTATGACGCGGCCCGGGTAATGAAGTCTGGACCAGACAATCCAGTGATTGACATCATGAGCAACGATTTATGCTGTGGGGATATGATGACATGCATCAACCAAGTCAGCAAGCCTGACCACCCGATCCCGTCAATCACCTCTTACGACAAGCCTATGTGCCTTTTACGGTAAGCATGGGTTGCTGAAGACCCATTCTCTCCCGGATCTTCACGGGTCCTTACATCATGTACAGGTTATGGGCGCTGTATCCTAATATATACTTTACAATGACTAAATCAATTCTGGTTACACTGGGAAATATTTTCATGACAAGCATCCCCTGAGTAAGGTGCGGCAGTAGAGCACTTCCTAAATATTATAAATACTGAAATTTCCATCCCAAGGAGGCATCTTATTTTACATATATGCGTTTATATTTATTAAAACAAAGTGTTCAATGCATCTGTGAACATTAACTCAGGATGGACGTGATTCTGCACAGAAACGGACTATTTTGTGTGTAGTAATTCAGCACCAAAACACAGACTATTTTATGTGTAGGAATATAGTGTAGTTATTCAGTACAGAAACTCGGACTATTTTGTGTGTAGGAAAACGGTGTAGTAATTCAGCACAGAAACAGACTATTTTGTCTGTAGGGATATGGTGTAGTAATTCAGCAAGGAAACAGTATGGGACTATTTTGTCTGTAGGTATATGGTGTACTAATTCAGCACAGAAACATGGACTATTTGTGTGTTAGTATATGGTGAAGTAATTCAGCAAGGAAACAATGGGGACTATTTTTGTCTGTAGGTATACGGGGACAATATGATGGTGGTGATGAAAATATAATAAATTATTTATCATGGCCTTGCTAGGTTAAGACATCCTCAAACAGACGCAGTCGTAAGCATGTGGACAAGTATCACTGGTTGAGGTTAAGCTCTTGGATTTCCAGACAGGCATCTGCCGAATAACTGACACATGGTTTTAAGACAAACATGCAGGACAATGTGGCGAAAGCATCAAGAAGAGATGAATGTCACTTTTATGTATCACTGACCTTATTTATTGTAATGAACACCACATGGGCCAACTATGACCATGTAGCCAGAAAATGCACGCTCAGTTGTAGAAACTGAAAATATCCCCAGGTTGTGAGTCAAAATGACTACAATATTTCTCAAGAATAATTCTCAATGTCATAAACAATTTCAAATAACTATGAAATATTTCATGAACATAGTTTCATTTGTAACAATACATACCTATTTATCTAAGCAGTGCAAAACTGAATGATAGGATGACTCAATAAGGCTAAAACACTGATGCCACCATGGACCTGCCGTGTTTATGCTGACACACTAAAGAAATGCAACACCTTTTTTCAACTCTTCTCGGAGAGTTGCCCTAGAGTGGTGATACGATGACTTACATGTCTGTAACTTGTCACACAGCGACTCCTTAAACAGTCATCTTAGCTCAACAACTGTCATCAGTCGAAGTAATAGTATGGGTGTTGCCATCATCTTAGTGCTAAGATCGCGTGGTGGGATGGGGCTCAGATATAATGAGCTAAATGTACCTAAGATTCAGGGATGTATACACACCCAATCAGCTCGTAAAACAATGAACACCTACAAGGTCATATCTAGACATCTCAGAGGCCTGTATTCCCCCACCAGCCTGCAGGCGTTGTCTAATTGGTATAAAAACATCCCAATCCATGTTAATATAATTATTACTAATGTTATTCCGAGGTGACATGAAGTCCACCGATAACAGGACCAATAGAACCAGCATCAAGACCAAGTTTCACATTTATGCCATCAATGATAAAAGATAAACATACCCCTGAATTCAAGACAAAAAAATAAATCACATTTCCCATTTTGCCCGAGAAAGGCACCTAATCACGAATTCTAGACAGGTAATCAAACAGCTAGGGGGCTGTCGGGTAGCCTAGAGGTTAAAGCGTTCACTCGGCACGCTGAAGACCTGGGTTTGATTCCCGACATGGGTGCAATGTGTGAAGCCCATTTCCTGGTGTCCCCCGCCGTGATATTGCTGGAATATTGCTAAAAGCGGCGTAAAACCATACTCACTCACTCAAACAGCTAGAGTTTGAGTGATTTTAAAGATTCTGTCACTGCAGCAAACATTAACCAATTCTTTGGAGTCAGTAGTTGATTGAGGATTCTTTATTACATTCCTGAAATAACCTTTCAAAACTTACAAAAGGTCTTCAATGAACAGGAAGCAGCTGATGATGCGTTTTTTGAGTGCTTGAGTATATGTCATACCTAACCGTTACCATGGAGATGACTATGATGCTGCCTGATCTTCGTGACATAAACAAATAGGTGTGATGCAAAAACAAGTGCAGAAAACACAAAATCAACAATTTCAGTCCAAGTCTTGTGCGATGACAACCTGGGCGTGGCTTGTGATGAGTGAACTCCTGTGCAGGATGACGTATCCCTTCAAAACTAGACCCCTTAGATTATGTGAACGTCCTATAAACAATGTGGACACTGCCACAGTGATGTGAACACCTCAGTAATGTGAACAGTCATACATGATGTGAACACCCCATACATGATGTGAACACCCCATACATGATGTGAACAGTCATACACAATGCAAACACATGATAGTGACGTGAACACCTGATAGTGATGTGAACACCCCATACACGATGTGAACAGCCCATAGTGACGTGTACACCGCATACATGATGTGAACACCCCATAGTGACGTGAACAGCCCATAGTGACGTGAACACCCCATACAAGACATGAACACCTGTGTAGGATGAGATCAGTACCATTAAGGTACAAAGGAACATCATGTTGCTATGGTTACATCGCCAATGAGGAGTAACACTTCAGTGATTTCCACACAAACAATAATTGTTCTACTTACAGGTGTAGAAGACATCAAGCACCTGTCAGCTTGACCCTATCCACAGACTACCTGATGCTAAATGCAGACACGAGGCTGGTAAACAACCCCCTTATGTCAACCCTCATCAGAGGTCTGTTGTAGATAAAATGCAACCATGGCAAGCATAAGATTACTTTAATCTTGTCAGAGAGTTGCTGCATGTTGGCTGGAGACAATTCATCAGACGTCACCAGACTGATACAGCACCATACATTACATGTTACATCGTTACATTGTTATAAGTTAAGCACCATTGTGCAAACTGGGTATTACATCAGATTTCAGCCTTTGCCTGCTTATGGGTTTTTTTAAATTTCCATATGAAGAATTGCGCTGTGTACAAAAAACATTTTGATGTTGACATTAAACATTCATTTTTATCAGCAGAATGGGTCCTCGGTGCCATTGTACAAAACAACGGGAGCACTACGACTGTCGTAGGTCCATGCTGAGGCATAGGAGTAGCGACAACCTTAGCGTAACATCGCTTTGTACCACGGCACCAGGTTCTGTATCATGGTAGTGTCCTGTGATGACTTGGTGAATCGTCCCAGCCCTGCTGTTGACACAAACAGACCCTAAACAACATGGCCCAGGCGACACCATGGGGGAGGGGGGCAGTGTTTACAGAAACAAACATAACAAACATCAAAGCAAACAATAGTACCGGTATAAATCTATTCTTCTGAAAATGTATTCATTCTGATTTGTGTCCATGTTCTTAATAATAATAATTTACAATTAAATCTCCAAGGTAATCAACCGCATCGCCGTTTAATTCAGCAAAACACATCCTTGGGGAGAGATTTCAGAGTCAGCCCTATCTCCATCTCACCACCATCTACCCCAATCCGTGAGAAGCATACGCAAGGTGAAGGTCATGTCCAACATGGTGGCCATAATTCACAGGTAGAAAGGATTTCTCATGGAATACATTCATACATTGACATCCATTACATCCCGGTCCTGGGTCTAGCTCTGTACATGTCCCTATTGATTCACCCTAAATATACCAGTAACCATGGTAACAGGGTCTCTTATATATCTGTGGTCCCAGTCTGATGATACCACTGTATTAAACTGAACGCTAATGAAGAACCAGGACTCTACAACAGCCCGGCACCTCCCTGACACACAACTCTTGCTTTGAGAGAAGAAGAATATCAATGGTTAACACTTGCTCAATGAATATACAGTAATGAATCCGCTGTGATCACGAATGAGAGAGCAGTGCTGTTTTACAAGAACACCCATGACATGTGACGGATACGACAGCTGTCACAGTCAACGCCCATCGGTACATAACTTGTGTCTAGTTTCCTGGGAGCCTCGCGATATCGTCCACTTATGCCCGTGAGCTGGAAGCCATCACATGTAATGTTCCTCGCGATATCGTCCACTTATGCCCGTGAGCTGGGAGCCATCACATGTAATGTTCCTCGCGATATCGTCCACTTATGCCCGTGAGCTGGGAGCCATCACATGTAATGTTCCTCGGGATATCGTCCACTTATGCCCGTGAACTGGGAGCCATCACATGTAATGTTCCTCGCGATATCGTCCACTTATGTCCGTGAGCTGGGAGCCATCACATGTAATGTTCCTCGCGATATCGTCCACTTATGTCCGTGAGCTGGGAGCCATCACATGTAATGTTCCTCGCGATATCGTCCACTTATGCCCGTGAACTGGGAGCCATCACATGTGATGTTCCTCGCAATATCGTCCACTTATGCCCGTGAACTGGGAGCCATCACATGTAATGTTCCTCGCAATATCGTCCACTTATGCCCGTGAACTGGGAGCCATCACATGTAATGTTCCTCGCGATATCGTCCACTTATGCCCGTGAGCTGGGAGCCATCACATGTATTGTTCCTCGCGATATCATCCACTTATGTCCGTGAGCTGGGAGCCATCACATGTAATGTTCCTCGCAATATCGTCCACTTATGCCCGTGAACTGGGAGCCATCACATGTAATGTTCCTCGCGATATCGTCCACTTATGCCCGTGAACTGGGAGCCATCACATGTGATGTTCCTCGCAATATCGTCCACTTATGTCCGTGAACTGGGAGCCATCACATGTAATGTTCCTCACAATATCGTCCACTTATGCCCGTGAACTGGGAGCCATCACATGTAATGTTCCTCGCGATATCGTCCACTTATGCCCGTGAGCTGGGAGCCATCACATGTATTGTTCCTCGCGATATCGTCCACTTATGTCCGTGAGCTGGGAGCCATCACATGTAATGTTCCTCGCAATATCGTCCACTTATGTCCGTGAGCTGGGAGCCATCACATGTATTGTTCCTTGCGATATCGTCCACTTATGTCCGTGAGCTGGGAGCCATCACATGTAATGTTCCTCGCGATATTGTCCACTTATGCCCGTGAACTGGGAGCCATCACATGTAATGTTCCTCGCAATATCGTCCACTTATGTCCGTGAGCTGGGAGCCATCACATGTAATGTTCCTCGCGATATCGTCCACTTATGCCCGTGAGCTGGGAGCCATCACATGTAATGTTCCTCGCGATATCGTCCACTTATGCCCGTGAACTGGGAGCCATCACATGTAATGTTCCTCGCGATATCGTCCACTTATGTCCGTGAGCTGGGAGCCATCACATGTAATGTTCCTCGCGATATCGTCCACTTATGTCCGTGAGCTGGGAGCCATCACATGTAATGTTCCTCGCGATATCGTCCACTTATGTCCGTGAGCTGGGAGCCATCACATGTATTGTTCCTCGCGATATCGTCCACTTATGTCCGTGAGCTGGGAGCCATCACATGTAATGTTCCTCGCAATATCGTCCACTTATGTCCGTGAGCTGGGAGCCATCACATGTAATGTTCCTCGCGATATCGTCCACTTATGCCCGTGAGCTGGAAGCCATCACATGTATTGTTCCTCGCGATATCGTCCACTTATGCCCGTGAGCTGGAAGCCATCACATGTAATGTTCCTCGCGATATCGTCCACTTATGTCCGTGAGCTGGGAGCCATCACATGTATTGTTCCTCGCGATATCGTCCACTTATGTCCGTGAGCTGGGAGCCATCACATGTAATGTTCCTCGCGATATCGTCCACTTATGTCCGTGAGCTGGGAGCCATCACATGTATTGTTCCTTGCGATATCGTCCACTTATGTCCGTGAGCTGGGAGCCATCACATGTAATGTTCCTCGCGATATTGTCCACTTATGCCCGTGAACTGGGAGCCATCACATGTAATGTTCCTCGCGATATCGTCCACTTATGTCCGTGAGCTGGGAGCCATCACATGTAATGTTCCTCGCGATATCGTCCACTTATGTCCGTGAGCTGGGAGCCATCACATGTAATGTTCCTCGCGATATCGTCCACTTATGCCCGTGAACTGGGAGCCATCACATGTAATGTTCCTCGCGATATCGTCCACTTATGTCCGTGAGCTGGGAGCCATCACATGTAATGTTCCTCGCGATATCGTCCACTTATGTCCGTGAACTGGGAGCCATCACATGTAATGTTCCTCGCGATATCGTCCACTTATGTCCGTGAGCTGGGAGCCATCACATGTATTGTTCCTCGCGATATCGTCCACTTATGTCCGTGAACTGGGAGCCATCACATGTAATGTTCCTCGCGATATCGTCCACTTATGCCCGTGAGCTGGAAGCCATTACAGTTAATATTCTTCAGTTGATGCATGATCTTCAGTCTTTCTCTTCACTGGAAGTGGTAGGGCGCCGTGAAATATTGTGACCTGCCATCTATCCCAGCAATATGATGGTCCGGAGACAGGCATGTGTTCACCATCTGACATAACTTACAAGAGGCTCCACACCTCGACACCCCTGGATCTCTCAGTACATACCAGCATGTCCAACACACCACCAACCACAGACAACCACAGGACAATATAGGAGTTTTACCCCACAGAACTCGGGTTAGTTCCTGGCTATGCAGGTTATTTAATGGTGTGGGTACTTAGACCACCTTTAGACAAGAGGGCCAATTGTGCCCCCTTTATTTATGGGGTGATTTAGACAGGGGCAGGGTGGTGAGTAATGAGGTAGTGTCTGATTTATTTACATGATTGTATTGTTGATGAATGCAGATTGATGGATGAGATTGGGGGCCCCGAGGGTCAGGACTTGTTTGTGGGGATGAGATTGGGGGCCCTGAGGGTCAGGACTTGTTTTGGGGATGAGATTGGGGGCCCTGAGGGTCAGGACTTGTTTTGGGGATGAGATTGGGGGCCCTGAGGGTCAGGACTTGTTTTGAGGATGAGATTGGGGGCCCTGAGGGTCAGGGCTTGTTTGTGGGGATGAGATTGGGGGCCCTGAGGGTCAGGACTTGTTTGTGGGGATGAGATTGGGGGCCCTGAGGGTCAGGACTTGTTTTGGGGATGAGATTGGGGGCCCTGAGGGTCAGGACTTGTTTTGAGGATGAGATTGGGGGCCCTGAGGGTCAGGAGTTGTTTTGGGGATGAGATTGAGGACAATGTCATTCAGGGGTAATTGAGGTGGTGTGGTGTGGGGCTGTGTGGTGTGGTGTGGGGCTGTGTGGTGTGGTGTGGTGTGGTGTGGTGTGGTGTGGTGTGGTGTGGGGTGGGGTGGGGTGGTGTGGTGTGGTGTGGGGTTGGGTTGGGTTGGGTTGGGTTGGATGGGGCGGTGTGGGGTGGTCTAAGTGGTGTGGTGTGGGGCTGTGCGGTGTGGTGTGTGGTGTGTTGTGGGGTGGGGCTGTGTGGTGTGTTGTGGGGTTTTGTGGGGTGGTCTAAGTGGTGTGGTGTGGGGCTGTGTGGTGTGGTGTGGTGTGGTGTGGTGTGGGGTGGGGTGGGGTGGGGCGGTGTGGGGTGGTCTAGGCGGTGTGGTGTGGTGTGGTGTGGTGTGGTGTGGTGTGGTGTGGTGTGGTGTGGGGCGGTGTGGGGTAGTCTAAGTGGTGTGGGGTGGTGTGGGGGACCCTGGGGCGCACTGTCTGCCACAGGGGTGGTTGGGTGTCGGTACCGGTGGTACACTCGGCCCAGTGACCAGCTGTTGTCCACAAGAGGAAGTATACAGTGTCTATTTCACCACAATCCTCTCTTTCTTCAATCCACAGTCTTCAATAAGATCTTGTATTTGTCACTTCCATCATCTGAAAATGATACTCATTAAAATGAATGTTTGCCATCTATAGGAAAAGACACACATGGCCCCTCCCATCTATAAGAACAGACACACATAGCCCCACTCATCTATAAGAACAGACACACATAGCCCTGCCCATCTATAAGAACAGACACACATAAACCTGCCCATCTATAAGAACAGACACACATAGCCCTGCTCATCTATAAGAACAGACACACATAGCCCTGCCCATCTATAAGAACAGACACACATAACCCCTGCCCATCTGAAATAACAGACACACATAGCCCCACTCATCTATAAGAACAGACACACATGGCCCCTCCCATCTATAGGAACAGACACATGGCCCCTCCCATCTATAGGAACAGACATACATGGACCGCCCATCTATAAGAACAGACACACATGGCCCCTCCCATCTATAGGAACAGACATACATGGCCCCTCCCATCTTTAGGAACAGACACATGGCCCCTCCCATCTATAGGAACAGACATACATAGCCCCGCCCATCTACAGGAACAGCGACATGGCCCCGCCCATCTATAGGAACAGAGACATGGCCCCGCCCATCTATAGGATGAGACACACATGGCCCTTCCCATTTATAGGAACAGACACATGGTTCGCCCATCTATAGGAACAGACATCCCTGATGCCCCCTGTCTAAGACAACCGACATCCATGACCGCAGAAAGTCACAAAAACATGTATCTCTTCCCATTCCTGCCCTCTGACCATGAAACAGCAGTTGATCCTCACCTTTCATTCCCTCCACAGCAAACCTGGTCTGATCCCCGACATTGTGAATAACCTGCAACAAAATCAGCCACATGTTTCTCAAAACTGGAATAAACACGTTTTGATGCAAATCCTATATAACATCAGAAGGAAATCAGACAATATACACAAGGCTCTGTAGCTCACCGGAATTATGAGTGAGTATTGTTTTATGCAGATTAAAGTAATATTCCAGACATAATTCCGGAAACAGAAATAATGGCGGCCAAGTGGGACTGTGACTCTCAGTGAAGTAGATCTTAGAGACACCGTTGCCGGACCACATAGTTTCAGCTCCATTGCAGTTTCAAAGGAGACATTGAAAACACAAAGGTAAACAATGGCCGGTCAACCGACAACGAGGAACACACCACAACATAATCTCACTTGACTTTCAGGTGAACTAAAATGTAGTATAATGTTTGAGTCAACAACTACACATGCTAGAGTTACAAGAATGACAGTGGATGTTTTACTCACTTCATCTGTGGCTAGAGTTACAAGAATGACAGTGGATGTTTTACTCACTTCATCTGTGGCTAGAGTTACAAGGATGACAGTGGATGTTTTACTCACTTCATCTGTGACAAGTACATGTATTCCCGATGGCCCCTGTATGTAGATGTCTCCAATCTGCGACCGCTGAATCCCAAACAAGAGGGACAGTTTCTGGCTCAGTTCCATCACAGTCATCCCCTCAAGGTACACCGCATGGTACACTGCAACATCACCGACAACACCAGAATCAGTACAAGCAACATCACCGACAACACCAGAATCAGTACAAGCAACATCACCAACAACACCAGAATCAGTACAAGCAACATCACCAGAATCAGTATAAGCAACATCTTCGACAACACAAGAATCAGTACAAGCAACATTGTCGACAACACCAAAATCAGTACACTGCAACATCGCCAGAATCAGTACACTGCAACATCACTGACAACACCAGAATCAGTACAAGCAACATCGCCGACAACACCAGAATCAGTACAAGCAACCTCACCAGAATCAGTACAAGGAACATCACCGACAACACCAGAATCATTACAAGCAACATCTTCGACAACACCAGAATCAGTACAAGCAACATCGTCAACAACACCAGAATCAGTACAAACAACATTGTCGACAACACCAGAATCAGTACAAGCAACATTGTCGACAACACCAGAATCAGTACACTGCAACATCACCGACAACACCAGAATCAGTACAAGCAACATCACCGACAACACCAGAATCAGTACACTGCAACATCACCGACAACACCAGAATCAGTACAAGCAACATCACCAGAATCAGTACAAGCAACATCGTCGACAACACCAGAATCAGTACACTGCAACATCACCGACAACACCAGAATCAGTACAAGCAACATCGTCGACAACACCAGAATCAGTACAAGCAACATCACCAGAATCAGTACAAGCAACATTGTCAACAACACCAGAATCAGTACACTGCAACATCACCGACAACACCAGAATCAGTACACTGCAACATCACCGACAACACCAGAATCAGTACACTGCAACATCACGGACAACACCAGAATCAGTACACTGCAACATCACCGACAACACCAGAATCAGTACAAGCAACATCGCCGACAACACCAGAATCTGTACAAGCAACATTGTCGACAACACCAGAACCTGTACAAGCAACATCGCCAACAACACCAAAATCAGTACACTGCAACATCGCCGACAACACCAGAATCAGTACACTGCAACATCACCAGAATCAGTACAAGCAACATCACCGACAACACCAGAATCAGTACAAGCAACATCTTCGACAACACCAGAATCAGTACAAGCAACATTGTCGACAACACCAGAATCAGTACAAGCAACATTGTCGACAACACCAGAATCAGTACAAGCAACATCGCCGACAACACCAGAATCAGTACAAGCAACATCATCAACAACACCAGAATCAGTACAAGCAACATCACCGACAACACCAGAATCAGTACAAGCAACATCGTCAACAACACCAGAATCAGTACACTGCAACATCACCGACAACACCAGAATCAGTACAAGCAACATCACCGACAACACCAGAATCAGTACAAGCAACATTGCTGACAACACCAGAATCAGTACAAGCAACATCACCGACAACACCAGAATCAGTACAAGCAACATCGTCAACAACACCAGAATCAGAACAAGCAACATTGTCGACAACACCAGAACCAGTACAAGCAATATCGCCGACAACACCAGAATCAGTACAAGCAACATCGTCGACAACACCAGAATCAGTACAAGCAACATCGCCGACAACGCCAGAATCTGTACAAGCAACATCGCCGACAACACCAGAATCAGTACAAGCCACATCGCCGACAACACCAGAATCTGTAAACTGCAACATCGCCGACAACAACAGAATCAGTACAAGCAACACCGCCGACAACACCAGAATCAGTACAAGCAACATCGCCGACAACACAAGAATCAGTACAAGCAAGATCACCAACAACACCAGAATCTGTACAAGCAACATCGTCGACAACACCAGAATCAGTACAAGCAACATCGTCAACAACACCAGAATCAGTACACTGCAACATCACCGACAACACCAGAATCAGTACACTGCAACATCGCCGAAAAAACACCAGAATCAGTACACTGCAACATAGCCAACAACACCAGAATTAGTACAAGCAACATCACCGACAACACCAGAATCTGTACAAGCAGCATCGCCAACAACACCAGAATCAGTACAAGCAACATCGTCAACAACACCAGAATCAGTACAAGCAACATCGTCGACAACACCAGAACCAGTACAAGCAATATCGCCGACAACACCAGAATCAGTACAAGCAACATTGTCGACAACACCAGAATCAGTACAAGCAACATCGCCGACAACGCCAGAATCTGTACAAGCAACATCGCCGACAACACCAGAATCAGTACAAGCCACATCGCCGACAACACCAGAATCTGTAAACTGCAACATCGCCGACAACAACAGAATCAGTACAAGCAACACCGCCGACAACACCAGAATCAGTACAAGCAACATCGCCGACAACATCAGAATCTGTACACTGCAACATCGCCGACAACTCCAGAATCTGTACAAGCAACATCGTCGACAACACCAGAATCAGTACACTGCAACATCGCCGAAAAAACACCAGAATCAGTACACTGCAACATCGCCGAAAAAACACCAGAATCAGTACACTGCAACATCGCCGAAAAAACACCAGAATCAGTACACTGCAACATAGCCAACAACACCAGAATCAGTACAAGCAACATCACCGACAACACCAGAATCTGTACAAGCAGCATCGCCGACAACACCAGAATCAGTACACTGCAACATCGTCAACATCACCAGAATCAGTACAAGCAACATTGTCGACAACACCAGAATCTGTACAAGCAACATTGTCGACAACACCAGAATCAGTACAAGCAATATCGCCGACAACACCAGAATCAGTACAAGCAACATCACCAACAACACCAGAATCAGTACAAGCAACATCACCGACAACACCAGAATCAGTACAAGCAACATCGTCAACAACACCAGAATCAGTACAAGCAACATTGTCCACAACACCAGAATCAGTACAAGCAACATTGTTGACAACACCAGAATCTGTACAAGCAACATCGTCGACAACACCAGAATCTGTACAAGCAACATTGTCAACAACACCAGAATCAGTACACTGCAACATCACCGACAACACCAGAATCAGTACACTGCAACATCGCCGACAACACCAGAATCTGTACCAGCAACATTGTTGACAACACCAGAATCTGTACAAGCAGCATCGCCTACAACACCAGAATCTGTACAAGTAACATCGCCGACAACACCAGAATCAGTACAAGCCACATCGCTGACAACATCAGAATCAGTACACTGCAACATTGTCGACAACACCAGAATCTGTACAAGCAACATCGCCGACAACACCAGAATCTGTACAAGCAACATCACCAACAACACCAGAATCTGTACAAGCAACATTGTCGACAACATCAGAATCAGTACACTGCAACATCGCCAACAACACCAGAATCAGTACAAGCAACATTGTCAACAACACCAGAATCTGTACAAGCAACATCACCAACAACACCAGAATCAGTACAAGCAACATTGTCGACAACACCAAAATCAGTACAAGCAACATTGTCGACAACACCTGAATCAGTACATTGCAACATCGCCGACAACACCAAAATCAGTACAAGCAACATTGTCGACAACATCAGAATCAGTACACTGCAACATCGCCAACAACACCAAAATCAGTACAAGCAACATTGTCGACAACACCTGAATCAGTACATTGCAACATCGCCAACAACACCAAAATCAGTACAAGCAACATTGTCGACAACATCAGAATCAGTACACTGCAACATCGCCAACAACACCAGAATCAGTACAAGCAACATTGTCGACAACACCCGAATCAGTACAAGCAACATCGCCAACAAGGCAGCAGAATCAGTGTTGGGGTGTTTTTTCCACACTGCTCTCAGCATTATGCCACCTTTATGATGGTGGCCTGTAAATAATAGTCTGGACCAAGCAAACCAGTGATTGATATTATGAGCAACTGCAGATGAGTTACAGCAATGTGGATGAGTGTATGCCTGTTTGTGTGGCTGCTTGTACTAGTCTGGACTAATGCCGATTGTATAGTGCTAGCCCACTGAGATACCATGCCGCAGTTCAACATGAATACCCCACTCAGACACAGTATACTGACTCCAAGCCGACCAGTCCTTGTTTTAGCCCATGCACCAGGCAGGGTAACAACAAGTACCATTTGTAACGTCTTTTGGGATGACGAAGCTGGGGATCAAACCCTGGACATTCCGCTCACCAGGCGGACACTCTACCACTAGACCAGGGAGGCAGTGGGCACTGTAAGGGTATGGGTACACACAATCATTTTGCCCAACCTGGTCCATTAAGTCACCTTGTACGACATGCGTGGGATGCTGTGGACTTATACTTATACAAGGGTACAGGCACATGGTGCTAAGTAGCTGCATAAAAACAACAAAAATTTGCATCAAATAATTTTTAACAAGGAATTGATGATTATGAAACAAATGTGTGACATGACAGGGTGATGTCTGGCAGAAGTTGCAGCAGCAGTAGGTCTGTTCTAATGTTTTGGAGAGGCAGTTGGTGTGTTCTGAATGTTGGGAGAAGCAGTTGGTGTGTTCTGAATGTTGGGAGAGGCAGTTGGTGTGTTCGGAATGTTGGGAGAAGCAGTTGGTGTGTTCTTAACGTTGGGAGAGGCAGTTGGTCTGTTCTAATGTTGGGAGAGGCAGTTGGTGTGTTCGGAATGTTGGGAGAAGCAGTGGGTTTGTTCTGAATGTTGGGAGAGGCAGTTGGTGTGTTCGGAATGTTGGGAGAAGCAGTTGGTGTGTTCTGAATGTTGGGAGAGGCAGTTGGTGTGTTCTGAATGTTGGGAGAAGCAGTGGGTTTGTTCTGAATGTTGGGAGAGGCAGTTGGTGTGTTCTGAATGTTGGGAGAGGCAGTTGGTGTGTTCTGAATGTTGGGAGAAGCAGTGGGTTTGTTCTGAATGTTGGGAGAGGCAGTTGGTGTGTTCGGAATGTTGGGAGAAGCAGTTGGTGTGTTCTGAACGTTGGGAGAGGCAGTTGGTCTGTTCTAATGTTGGGAGAGGCAGTTGGTGTGTTCGGAATGTTGGGAGAAGCAGTGGGTTTGTTCTGAATGTTGGGAGAGGCAGTTGGTGTGTTCGGAATGTTGGGAGAAGCAGTTGGTGTGTTCTGAATGTTGGGAGAGGCAGTTGGTGTGTTCGGAATGTTGGGAGAAGCAGTGGGTTTGTTCTGAATGTTGGGAGAGGCAGTTGGTGTGTTCTGAATGTTGGGAGAGGCAGTTGGTGTGTTCTGAATGTTGGGAGAAGCAGTGGGTTTGTTCTGAATGTTGGGAGAGGCAGTTGGTGTGTTCGGAATGTTGGGAGAAGCAGTTGGTGTGTTCTGAATGTTGGGAGAGGCAGTTGGTGTGTTCTGAATGTTGGGAGAAGCAGTGGGTTTGTTCTGAATGTTGGGAGAGGCAGTTGGTGTGTTCTGAATTGTCTCATGTGGGAATCGAAACCCGGGCCTACGACATGACGAGTTGACGTTTTAACAACCAGGCTACCCCACCGCCCCAAGGACTTCTGTGCATCAAGCATCCTCATTGTCCCATGTGTTATATCTCCATTCTATTATGATTCTATGACATCTAGGGTAAAACTCTGTGCAAGGATGTGAGGTCTTTTTGAATGAGCAAACTAACGCGTGGTCTCGAAACATTTACTGGCGCTTGTGTTGCACTTCTACCGTGTTTCAGCTGGAGGTGTAACGATACGGTGGGGGCGTGATACGATACATATGCCAATGCTATGTTTATAAATTTCAGAGATTGAAGATGGGATATCGTAGGGTAGAAACATACAGGCAAGAGGCATGGTGAATGTTATGCTATTTATAGGCAGCCAGGAAAACCTAAGAATCTGTGTAATTATGTAATGTATCGTATGTATCGTGGGCCTGGTATCAGCGTATCGTTACACCGCAAGTTCAAGCATGGGATGGAGGCAGATAGAGATGAAGGATGAGGGGATGGCATACCGATAAGCTCACCTGATTCCACTTCCTGGCAGACGTAGAGCGTGAGACGCGGCCGCACAGCCCTGTAAACAACAGTTCAACTCACTAACTACGCAGGATCAATGTGGCAGTCAGCAGCAGGAAGGTGTGAGCTCCTGGTCCTGTACTGCCAGTAGCGGTACACGGTATTCCGCTTTACCACAATCTGAACACTAATGAACACGTGACACGATACACTTGAAAAATACCGACACATTGTGTCTTTTAACATCATGCATATTTTTACATTGTTGGCAAAGCTTTATAAGCGAGGATGACTATGAAGTTGTCAAAACTGTGTTGAGGTAGTAAAACGTATGATTATTCAGGTTCATAACAAATAACAGATGAAAGAACATATGCCACATATTGTGGAGCAAGTAATACAGCCCTTCTACACTGCTGTTTTCTGTACACAATCTGTGACTTCCACAAGAATAGAGGGACTTTCATGTACATGTTGGGTCGCAGTAGGGGGCGCTTATAAAGATTACTTACAGATTTGTCTAGAAATTGGTTGTGATTATTTATTGGAGCAGGGAGCTTAATACAGGTACTACGGTTCTTGGATCAGTGATGCTTCTGAATCTACATGAGGCAGTCATAAATGTGAATAACATCATACCACTACAACTAGACCCCTAATATTAAGTGATCCTGAAACAGACACTGCCTGAGCTCGCTGGAAAATGAGGCTGTACGTTATACAAGCAGCTCCGATGATGGAGTTGATGTTTACCTGGACTGAAGTGCGTTGTCTAGCCTGATGCCATCTGCTAACCCACAGATCTGAATCAAGTCTTCTCGACTTAACCGTAATAAATCAGCACCTGTTTCATAAAACAAAATTGGAATTTTTTTTATAAATTGTATTTTCATTTACTTATCATATCTCACACGATGCATTTCTTCTTTCTTCTTCGATCCCACATCTTATTTCCTATTGCCTGACAGCTCTATGAAAGAGAGTCGGCAGAGATATGTACGTGATCAGGTACTGTATGATTACCGTGCACGGAGCACGTAATTGACCCAGTAATTGTTCAGTAACCAGAGGGATGCTTGAGTGTGTTCGGGTGAAGTGTTCTGCTATAGAAGCTGGAAACATGGTTCAAGCACGTTTCCACATAGAATCGAAGAAGAAAGAACAAATGCACGGTGTGAGATAGGATAAGTTAAAAAAAATCCTTATTTGAATTCAGGCAAACGATTTTGTTGGCACAGTTAACTTAACCATAACTAAATACCACATATACAGGTTACTGGAGCAAGGACATCACATTGAATTTAGTCCTTACAACTAAGATTAATGCCGTGTATGTACTATTTCCTAAAATACGTCTCCACAGTGGTGTACTGAAACACAATGGTGATGCAAAAATATTGATGAACAGTATTTAGAACAAAATGATAAATTTGTATATATATCAGTAGCAGGGTGTACAGGTTTCAACAAGCTGAACAGTCTTGTAAACCTCAAGGTGTTGAGTGGTGTTCACTTGTTCAGCTTGTAGAATCATATGAGAAACTATTTCTGTTCTAACCATGATTTATGTTCTTTAATATACACTGAGCACTACCACCCAAGACACATTCAGGTATCAGTTATCTCAGTTCATGGTTCATTTCCATCACTTAATGTTACATGATTTTAGAAATTAAAGATGAAATAGTGAATGAGTCTAAATTTAACGCCGCATCAGCATTATTCCAGACATATGGCCACGAAAAGATGAAACAAAAACAGTTAAAAATACCAACTCATACTTAAAAACATCAGCATAAATTTTACCTGAGAAATTCTGAAAAACCCTTGTATAACTTGTGAACCTGTTAAAGTGTAGCCATCGAGCCACTTCCTGAGATGTAGAATCCCCTGGCAAGGGCTGAAACAGAGAAGAGACGAATAACGGCCATGTCAAACCAGTGGTTGATAATGTGAGCATCACTGCAAGAGTTCACACAACCAGTCACAGATAATAACTGTCTTCCCACAAAGCAGCTTCCCACTATCCACCCTCAACAGCCTCCCACTATCCACCCCTACAGCCTCCCACTATCCCCCCTCAATAGCCTAGCACTATCCACCCTCAACAGCCTCCCACTATCCACCCCTCAACAGCCTCCCACTATCCACCCCTACAGCCTCCCACTATCCACCCCTACAGCCTACCACTATCCCCCCTCAATAGCCTAGCACTATCCACCCTCAATAGCCTAGCACTATCCATCCCCTACAGCCTCCCACTATCCACCCTCAACAGCCTCCCACTATCCACCCCTACAGCTTCCCACTATCCACCCTCAACAGCCTCCCACTATCCCCCCTGAACAGCCTCCCACTATACCCCTCAACAGCCTCCCACTATCCCCCGTCAACAGCCTCCCACTATACCCCTCAACAGCCTCCAACTATCCCCCCTCAACAGCCTCCCACTATCCCCCCTCAACAACCTAGCACTATCCCCCTCAACAGCCTGCAACTATCCCCCCTCAACAGCCTCCAACTATCCCCCCTCAACAGCCTCCCACTATACCCCTCAAAAGCCTCCAACTATCCCCCATCAACAGCCTCCCACTATCCCCCCTGAACAGCCTCCCACTATCCCCCCTCAACAATCTAGCACTATCCACCCCTCAACAGCCTCCAACTATCCCCCCTCAACAGCCTCCCACTATACCCCTCAACAGCCTCCAACTATCCCCCCTCAACAGCCTCCCACTATCCCCCCTCAACAACCTAGCACTATCCCCCTCAACAGCCTCCAACTATCCCCCCTCAACAGCCTCCAACTATCCCCCCTCAACAGCCTCCCACTATACCCCTCAACAGCCTCCAACTATCCCCCCTCAACAGCCTCCCACTATCCCCCCTCAACAACCTAGCACTATCCCCCTCAACAGCCTCCAACTATCCCCCCTCAACAGCCTCCAACTATCCCCCCTAAACAGCCTCCCACTATACCCCTCAACAGCCTCCAACTATCCCCCATCAACAGCCTCCCACTATCCCCCCTCAACAGCCTCCCACTATCCCCCCTCAACAGCCTCCCACTATCCCCCCTCAACAACCTAGCACTATCCCCCTCAACTATCCCCCCTCAACAGCCTCCAACTATCCCCCTCAACAGCCTCCAACTATCCCCCATCAACAGCCTCCCATTATCCCCCCTCAACAGCCTCCCACTATCCCTCATCAACAGCCTCCCACTATCCCCCCTCAACAGCCTCCCACTATCCCCCCTCAACAGCCTCCCACTATCCCCCCTCAACAGCCTCCCACTATCCCCCCTCAACAAATCCCTCTCCCTGCTTTGACATATGCTGTCCAGGACATGGGCAAGAACGGGTTCTGACAGCAGAGAAGACGGTACCCAATAACAATATGTGAAAATTAATCATTTACTTGACGGAGTAATTTATTAGTTAGTGCTTGTTATGAGTACACACTTCTAGGATTTACTGTGTTCAGTTTTGACTGTGAGAAAGCCCCAGCAATGCTTGTCGAAGCTGTTCTTAAAATTATTTGTCATGAAGCACAAGTCAAGAGTCATATTTTAACTCTCGATAAAACAATCTTCAAAATGTTAGTTAGGCTACACCTTTTTAACTTAATGTTTCATGCATTTATTCCAGCTTCTCCACACAAGGTTGATCAAAATAAAAATAAAAATAATTAGCAACTTCAAAAATATCTTTACATTAAATTTAGTCTTGGGTGCAATGCATGGTCAGCAGGGTGAGTGCACAACAAAGACAACACAATAATGTGGTCCACAGTTAGTACTGATCATGGTTTTATGCATCCCCTCCTCTACACAGCTGTACTTCTTTGGAAAAAAGTGTGCTCTTGACTCATGAAAACATCATCACAAGTTTTTTTGTTCAAGAGGGACTATTTTACCAGGGAACCATAATAAAAATACATGTTTTCATGTTGAATTTATTGCTTGGACTGGCGGTTTGTCAGAAGGGATGGCGGGCCCGTGAAACGAAAATATAAAATATGTGGCCTATTGGAAAAAGAAAAATCTTCACAATTATTAGTCTACGATAAACTCCCCCAAATAACTGACCAATCCCATACCAACCTTGACAAAAAGATTAACTTATTGACTGTCCAGGGCCCTTTTCCACAAGGCGATCGTAGCACTACGACAGTCGTAAGTCTATGTTAAAGTATGGGAGTTACGATTGTCTTAGCTCTACGATCGATTTGTGGAACAAAGCCCCGCTACTTACCCCCGTGGTGGTCTGGTCTGCCTCTGGTGTGAGCACCTGTGGGGTGGTGATGCGTGGGGGGAGGTGAGTGGGGGGTGATGGGGTGGCAGGTGATGGGCTCAGCGGTTGTACCGGCGTCCTGAAGGAAAACAGCAAAAACTTAATGACATGGTAGGGAAAAATGACAACTGCAGCTCTCCCACTCAAAATTGTCAACATGCAAATTTACAGATACACTAATGCCAGTAATCCATGGTCCAATACAGAAGTTTTATCAATCATGTCATTGTTTAATCTGATCCATAGAGATGCCTCTTACAACAAGCACCTACAGATTATAAGATCCATTTAAATGCCCTTACAAGCACCTGCAGACCATATGATCCATAGAGATGCCTCTTACAACAAGCACCTGGGGACTTGTTCTGCCAAAGGCTCCCCAGGGATTCAGGCAAGACTGGCCTATTGTCTGTCGTTTAAGGCCACACTCAGCAATATTCCAGCTATATGACGGTGGTCTGTAAATATCAAGTTTGGACCAGACAATCCAGTGATTGACAACATTAGCATCGATCTACGTAATTGGGACACGGTTCAGACTGGCCTATTCCAAATGCTGAGTTTGTACTCACGGAGGGTCTGGCGTGCTGGGGACGGTAGTGATGGAACACACACTGGGTGAGATGTTGGTGGGAGACTTCAACAACTGAGAAGCCTGCGCTGCCAGTACTTGGTCTAAGGGCACCTGCAGCATCAACACACATACCCTGCATCACACCGCTACTTGTCAGGTTTTAACACTGATTTCATTTCATCTATAACCTCGACCGTTACCACACAACCCTACACATCGCAGACCTCTCCAAACATCAAAGTAACATATTACTACCCAAACCATTTCAAACTTGGCTGCCTTCAGAGCAGCAGAAAAAAACATCCAATATCAGAAACTGCCGATATCTAAAATGAAGTCTCATGTCTTATTAGTTCTGGAATAACAAATATGCATTTTGTAAACAATAAGTTTTAACAAAGAGTGAGTGTGTGAGTTGTGGTTTTTTTCCGCTTTTAGCAATATTCCAGCAATATATCGGCGGGGGACACCAGAAACAGGCTTCACACATTGTACCCATGTAGGGAATCGAACCTGGGTCTTGGACGTGGCAGGTGAACACTTTAACCACCAGGCTACGCGACCGCCCTCGTAACAAAGACAACCCTCACTGAGAGCATGAACTACAGACTTGATACACTTCAATGTAAAGTTCATGGTAGCTGGTGGTCCCTGTACATCAGATGGGGAAACATGAGACAGCATCAAACACAATGGTCTCCAGCTCACCTCTGTTAGAACTGTGCACTCATATGATGGTTGAAATTTTTCCTGGAATGAGACGGAACAGGATGAGTAAATGAATTCTGACCGCAATATAACCCATACATTAGGTTGTGGATATGTCATCAAGCTTGAAACAGACAAAGGTTAACTGTGAGCATGGACCAGACAAAGATTAACTGTCAGCATGGACCAGACAAAGGTTAACTATGAGCATGGACCAGACAAAGGTTAACTGTCAGCATGGACCAGACAAAGGTTAACTGTCGGCATGGACCAGACAAAGGTTAACTGTGAGGCTGTGAGTATGGTTCTAGCAGCATTAGAAACTAACAGCTTTAGACCACTAGTCCTTATAATGATAACATGTGGCAAAACCCTTTAAAACGGCAAATTTCTACTAGTCGTTATGCCTTTACTATTGGGCATTTGGCAAAGACTATAGGACTAGTGCCAATTTCTAATGCTAGTGCCAATTTCAAAGAACATAACAGAGAAATTGCTGGACACTGATTTCAGGAATATTGTCAAAATAATATTTACATACTTTTTCTGCCTCTGATCTCTTCTCCATCTTTTCCCGATCTGTCTTGTGTTTTCTGTCTGCGCCCTTGGGCTGAAAATAGATCCAAACTGTAGAGTATTGATGGTGTCATTGAGAAGCATGAAGCAGCGAGAGATTTCCCAGCAGGAAGGGGGGGCTTTTGAGAATTGTTATCCTCCATCACTTTCAGGGGTTCACTGGAGTGAGTTGGGTTACCTCTCGTTAACAGTATTTCAGTCAGGTCACAGCTTGCGAGGTGTCAAAGGCCAAGTGATACAGGCATGTAACCAACAAACACATGCGGACTGACCAAGGATCCTAAACTTGGCGAAGTGGAATTGGAACCCATGGCGGAGGATGCTGGTTGCTAAGGGAGACAACTCTGCAGAGTGAGCTTATGTGCTTTAAGACCCCTGGTCCATCTCTGCCTCTTTTAAAATACAGTTACTGAGTGATCCTAGCGGCCTGTGACTAATCCCATCTGGACCAGACCCCTCAGTGGAGGCCCAGTAGGATGAATCGGCTTCTACCAAGACACTAGGGCCGTGTATTAACCTGGATTTTGTATTGCAATATATCATGATATATTGCCATACTTAAACCTGTATTGCGATACTCATTGCAATATATTGCCAATTTACATTTTGTATCCCAGCAACGATCAAGAGAGATAATACTGTCACATGGAAGCGCAACCTCCTTCCCAGCGCGTGACACCTTCGTTTACTCTCGGTATAGAGAGCTCCACAGACGAGCTATCGCTATGAGGAGCTTCATAGTCGCAATGTGTCCACGCTAATTGATAAAAAGATTGTCAGAGGCAAGTTGTATAAGAAAGATACTATTTTCCGTCACCATATTGATTTAGAACACATAAATATATTTAGTTATATTTGCCCTAATATATTGCTACATTTACAAACGTATCGCAATCAGTATAGCTGATGATTTGCACCACAATATACCAGTGTACTGGTAATACCACGCTCTTACAAGACACACATTCTGACAACTGTCTTGTCACCTATCAAAGCAACAGAGTGCTGGAGACCTAACCCGGCTCCCCATGAGATCACAAAGATTGACACCTCACCTTAAAAACTTTCACTTGACAGGATGCACAATGTAATAATTTTGAATCGGGGCCATTGGAGTAGGTTTCCACCTGGATCCTGAAGGGGACGCCCTTCTCCCCGCCATGCTTCTTTGCCGTGAACTCAGTGCTGATGCAGTGCACCCGGATGTAGACCCCCGTCTCCTTCGTGGGGTCCCAGATAAACTCTGTCTGATTCAACCGAACAGCGTCCAGATTCATATCAATTAACGCGTACGAGAGAGGAACATCTGAAATCAACCAAAAGAGTGAATACATGAGCGAGCTGGTCTTCATTCTGCCGTGAACAAATTTTCAAGAATATCACAACTTGTCAGCTGATGTAAGATGAGTGAGGAGTAATGTCTTTGGCTGCTTTCAAGCAATATCACAACGGGAGACACCAGAAATGGGCTTCACACATTGTACCCATGTGGGGAATTAAACCCGGGCATTTGCCATGAGGAGCGAACGCTTTAATCCCAAGCAGCCCTCTTGCAACTTCTTGGAGAAAGAGTTGCCTCCCATCATAGGAGAGGTTTTCATTATGTTTTTGTTTGTTTTTTGTTTAATGTCGCACTCAGCAATACTCCAGCTATATGACAGCTGTCTGTAAATAATCAAGTCTCGACCAGACAATCCAGTGATAGATGTGATGAGCATCGATCCACGCAATTGGGATACAATGACATGCATCAACTAAGTCAGGGAGTCTGACCACCCGATCCCATTAATCGCCTCTTACGACAAGCATAGTCGCCTTTTACAGCAAGCATGGGTTGCTGAAGACCTAATCTACCCCAGGTATTCACAGGTCTTTCATTATGTAATTCCACATTACACAATTCACAATTCTTTGAAAAATAAACACTTTCCTATAATGGCAGCTCACACATATTTGGTGCCACAACACTTGACACCTGAATCCATAAACTGTGTCTGGCAAAAGGAATTACTGTATTAACTCTTTCAACACCAGTCAACCAGAAGTGTTTACTGCTGGGACACCGAGTTCCCAGAGGCTCTTGTGTGATAGATGAAGTCAACATTTATCAAAGAAAATACCTGCTTGTAAAATATATTTGCTACTACATGTTATACACCATTTGAAAGGTCTGATCCTATGGTTTATAAATATGAAAGTTATGTTTTTCACATTATTTAAAATAATGCATTTACAACTTAATTAAATTCGTTGTAAATAAAAAATGTACGCTAACACGTTGTTAACATCCAGATTAAGGACCAAGGAAGCGAAAACTTGACGATTTTCGGCAAATATTTGATTTCATAATATCCACGTACCTATTTCTATTTTATTTTCATTGTTTACGTTATTGGAAAATCATTTTAAAAAGAATTATAAATAGTCTCTGTCATCACCCATTTCCAGATAACAGCGACTGTCCGCTCAGTAAAATGAAGAAATACCCCCGTTTTCGAGGTTTCGTATGAATAACACGTTCGTCGAAGAATGGCATATGACACATCGCTGGAAAGCTTATTGCTTCATCTACACGCTCGTAACATCGACTGGTTTTTTTCGTAGTTATAACAAGCGATTTCATTGGATTAAAATTGGTTTCTAATGACGCTTTCTTGCTGAAATCTGCTACAAGTTTCGTGATTGGTCAATTTTGAGCACGTGACCTAAGGCAGCCAATCAAATTACAGCTGTGATACCAAGCTCGTGTTCGATAAATTACAGAAGTTTGCGAAAGAATTTTGTTAAATCGTGTTATTCTGAACGTTTTGAGCAGGAAATCACGATATATATTAAAAATATGGAACTTCGTGAATGTATCGTGCTAGGTTACGAGCTGTGACAAAGATTTTTCATGCATATATTTTTGCATTAAACATCGTGTCCGAGCCGAGAATTCAAGGCGACGAAAGCCGAGATGTCCTTTGACTTACATTACACGCGATCGCACGAAAAGACGAAAATAATAACTTAGATGTAAGTTTGATTACTTTTAGATATATTTTTTGTTGATTTTATATATTACTTTGTATAATATATTTAAAGATTTGTTTAAAACGTCTTTATTTTTCCTCTTTGACGTGTTCGATGTGGACCCGTTGTCGAAATGTGTGTCCGAGAATTTTATTTTCAATAACATCGCGGGAAATAGTGAATAATTTTTTAATTTAACGATAAAAAATGTTAAATTGAAATGGAATATGTATTTCAGACATTGTGAAATGTGATAGATTTAATAAATGAATGATATTACAGGTAGGTCCATAAAAATATAGTACTATTTTGACGTGACTACGGCTTGGCCGGATAACCGGCCTGCGGTGTTGAAAGAGTTAAAAATACTCTACAGTGCACTCTGCTAAGGGGAGACAACCCACCAATATCTAGAATTCTCTCCCCTGGTCTGTTCCTCTTCCAGGCTTCGATCTGTTCTTTCTCCATGTACTGTAACCGGCGTTCATGGAACAGCACTTTAACCTGACTCTGAAAATAACATGTAATACAATGTGTTTTATTTGAATTAATTAAATTTAGGAATTTGATGAACTCAATTTAACAAGTGTTTGGGGGAAACATGAGTTAGTTATGGAATCCCACTTCTTGTCAGTACCTTCACTAAGCACTTACTTCAGCTTCTGGGATAACACAAATGGAAATCATGAAGTCAACTCTGTTTCAAAATAAAAGAAACATGGATGTTGTAACCTGCCTTTAATCATGATAATGGTAAAAAAAAGTGAGTTTCTTACTCTGAGGAATTTTCCTTGGTATTCAGACAAATCTCCAAGTTTCTTCAACTTGATCTCATAAGACTGGCCTGGAACAAAATATATAGTATTACATCTGATGATGATGACGACAATGATGACGACAACAATGACGATGACGATGATGATGAAGACGATGATGATGATGATGATGATGATGACGATAACGACGATGATGACGACGACAATGATGATGATGATGGTGGTGATGATGTTGCAAATATTTCCACATAATTGTCAAAAAACAACAACGATGATGACAGAAAAGTATTCAGTTGTTGCACACCAGTCAGCAACATTTTGGTTATTTCAAGGCTGCCTGTAATTGTTCAAGCCTGGACTAGACAAACCAGTGGTTGATATTATGATTATGACCAACACCCCCGACAGTCCATCTCCCCGAGGCAAGAGAGTTAACTGATAACAAAAGTCTAATTTCCACCCTTGCCGAACTAGGCTGGAATTCCTGGGCTCGATTGTAGCGCCACCAGTGGCTATTATGAGTTATGTCCCTTCTATTCCTCTCCTATGGACCAATCAGATTCCACCTCTCATATCACTTGCATTTTCTTCAAACAAACTGTCGGCGCCCAGTCAAGACGATCTGATAGATAATGAAGATCTCTATTGTGATAAAACGGGTCTTACATCGCGAAGTGCATCAAATCATGTGAGCACCTTGACTAAAAATAAGAATAGTTTTGAAAGATTTCTGTCTACAACGAGTTGGCGGTGGACATGCTTTGCAAATCCTGCAATCCACCGAAATCTGCATGACAGTTTATGAAACGGATTTCAATTTCATTGCGCGATTTTGATTTGACTAGGCATAGACTCGTTAGTCCAGCCAAAATGTAACTCCATAATACCAGTACAGTTCGGCAAGAGTGGAAACTGGACTCCATAAGTCAGTTAATTCCCTTGCCTCAGGAAGATGACCACTGTCGGGGGAGGATGAAATGCAATGAAACAAGTAACTGAACCTGTCCAATTTTGTCACTTCCTACAACAAGCAACACATGTTAAAGTGCCCGGGATAAGCTTCAATCTGTGTTCCCCCTGGAGGGGTGTGTACTGACAGGGTGAGGAAGACATTATCCCCCCACAACTTACCCTGATTTAGATAGGTGAGTGTCTCTTCATTCATCTTAACAGCTGGTGAAGTTGCAGCTCCAAGAATATACTGAAACCTGTCAAAATAAATTTATTAAAATCGTGATATTTTTTTATATTTGTAAACTAAATCTGCATTACTCCTTAATGCATTCACTGCTTACCATACAACAACAAAAGAGCGCTCAGCGATACACAAGATAGTAAAGGTAATATGGAAAAAATATATCACCCATCGCAGATATGATTTAGAGTTAAGGGTCTAAACAAATCCAATTTGAAGAGCTCAGCTGAGAGATGTCCTTGCTGTTACGTGACAGACAGTGATGTGAAGAAGGTGACTTGTCATCAAGGTCACATGACAGCACTGATGGTCCATGCAAAAAGCAGGAGTTGATTGAAAACAGAAACATCTTTTTTTCACCCAAGACCATCGCTGAGCGCTGTCTTTTGTTGTTGTAAGGTAAGCAGTGAATGCATTAAGAAGTAATGCAGAATAAGTAAAAAATGTAACTGTTTTTAATCGTATATCAGAAACTGAGAGTCAGATAGAGCGTGGTTATACACCTTTTTCTGAACTATTCCCAGCCCAGACAGGTCCTGACACAATGCTGTAATCAATAGAAACTAGGGCTGGCTATCATACAGATTGATAATCGCTAAATATATATCAGTCAATTATCAATAAATATCAGAGAAGAAACTTTCAGCAAATATGCAAGAAAGTCCTGAAAGAAATCAACAGGTTTCACGCCACTAGTGAGCAGTGACACATTCATGCATGGATTACTTTGTCGACATTTGTGATATAACAAAAACAGTTGCTTTCCATCTTCGATAATTGACATTACTGAAGTCTGTGTCGGTAAACCTGAACTTTATTTAATCACAAATAGTTTATGGGAGTTATTATCAATGACAACAGTTTCATATCCATAATCATTAATATTTCATCCCATCGACGATAATTCCAATTATTTATCTTTGTAGCCATCCTTAATAGAAACATGTTGGAAAGAACAATCAAAAGTTCATCATTTGCTGCCATTTCTCTAAATCCTTAAAAATCATTACATACCACCACTTCCGGTCTCATATCGCTAACTGTGTTCTTCTACGATACAACCTCACATTGACACAGCCTAAACCACATGTCTCTGTGGGGCAGAAACTTAAAACTAGAACTGCAACGCCTCTACATGCTTTAATATGAACGTCATATGGTTTACTGACTTCTCACAACAGAAAGTAAGTGAGTGAGTGAGTGAGTGAGTTGGGTTTGACGCTGCTTTTAACAGTATTCCAGTTATAAAACCGTGTGTCAGCTTAATGTGGGAGGAAAGCCCGAAGTGATGCAGGTCTCAGACGTTTACCACTTCGGTGACACCCACAAGCACGGGTATGGTGCTGACAAACCTAGAAATATAATCAGGGCAAACCAGGATTCGAACCCACAATCATAGGTTCCTGGCGTGCCCAAGGGATGCAACTCTGCACAGTGAATCACAGCACGTTATACGACTGGGGCACCCCCAACATAAACAGAAATTCAACAGCAAAATTGGCACACATGATTTACTTTTAACCTTCACTAACCTTGACCTTATACACTCAAGAACTTTTCAGACTACATACCCAACTAAAGGATGATTGATACATTCTTTCACTGAGAAACAGGTTGATATGTTCCAAGTTTGATCTTAATCTCATGTAGATCAATGTAACAGTTCATGCTTACTCTACTCATCATTGCAACCTCAAACCTAGACAGGACCTGCTTGTAGCAATAGTCTACCCTTATCAAGACAGGGAGAAACCGACGATTATTCCATCCCTATCATGGCAGGGAGAAACACATGATTATTCCACCCCTTACATGGCAAAGAGAAACATGATTATTCAACCCCTACCATGGCAGAGAGAAACAGTTGATTATTCCACCCTTATCATGGCACGGAGAAACAGTTGATTATTCCACCCCTATCATTGCGGGGAGAAACAGATGATTATTCCACCCCTATCATGGCAAAGGGAAACATGATTATTCCACCCCTACCATGGCAAAGAGAAACATGATTATTCCACCCCTATCATGGCACGGAGAAACAGTTGATTATTCCACCCCCATCATGGCACCGAGAAACAGATGATTATTCCTCACCTGTCATTTCATGGAAAAACAGATGATTATTCCACCCCTCTCATGGCAAAGAGAAACATGATTATTCCACCCCTATCATGGCAGGACAGATGATTATTCCACCCCTATCACTAGGAACTCGTGATACAGAATTACTTTACGACTTACCCGCTTTCAAGATTTTCTTGTTTAAACACTGGAAGAGCCAGGAGAGCTTCGCTGTAACAGAAATCATTCTTTAGTGTGAGTTGCTTTTCTTGTTCAAATGCAGCTGTGTTAACATGGACTGTACATGTATGTGTGATTGCGAACATCATTCTAGAAACTGCTCTCAGTTATCCTCAAACAACAAAGTTACTAGACTCATGGCTTGAATACCGTTCTATCATCAATGGGTGAGTGAGTATGGTTTGACACCATTCAGCATTATTCCAGCAATATCACAGCACCCAAAACACAAGAAATGAGCTTCACACATATGTGGAATGGACCCCTTCCTTCAGCGTGAAGAGCGAACGCTTTAACCACTGCCCCTTAGGCTACCAACTGCCCCTATCACCAATGCAGCGTTACCGCTGAGTCAAGGCCATTGTCAGGAGTACCAGTCTCTGCTGCAAACACCAGTGTGCTGTTGTACAAAACAACCTTTGCGCTACGACTGTCGTAAGTCTGTGTTAAGGTTGAGAGCTACGATCACCTTAGGGCTACGACTGTCGTAAGTCTGTGTTAAGGTTGAGAGCTACGATCACCTTAGGGCTAAGATCGCTTTGGTCTGTTCCGCTGATATGGCAGGCGTGAGATTTGTCTGACAACTTACATAACTGGTAAAGCTCATCCAGATAAGGGAGCACCAAACTGCCCATTGCATGACATACTGTAAATCTTGATATTAACGCGAGCGTGAATTAAATGCGAAAAATGCGAGTGGTCTTTGCTCGCATTATAAAACATCGCATTTATATCAACAATAAGACGTTTTGGATAGCAGAAATACCAACTTAGACATACGCTGAAAACAAACAACTATGTATTCCACATCACTGTTTATTGAGCAGCACGTGTTACAAGTCTATAAACAATGTCATTCAAACACTAATTACATCCTGTGAATTGTCACTGCTGGGGTCAAGACAAGCATTCTACTCACTCATGTCATCACTGATCACACCTGTAAGTCAGGACAGACGCCACCCAACACGGTGTCTTTGCTCTTTGCGACTGCATCAAAGGCCGACACGAGCAAGCGCGCACATATTGTTTTAGCTGAAGTACTCTACTCAGCGCTAATACGCGGTGCTATTTGGTGTGTGATTTGATTAATGTAAGGTTGGATTAAGGTGAGGATTCTCCTGTAAACCTGACAGAGGACATTTTGTTTAGAAATAAATCAACTGATGCTTGAGAGGAGGGGGTGTCGCATTTTTGGCATATTGAGTCGCATTTTTGGCTAGGGGCCAGCGATCGCATTCTTTTGGAGACGCATTAATTTCACATTTTACAGTATTTTCTGTCTATTGTTCAACATTTTACTTGAGGACTCTGCAGTGTGAAAATTCCGAATGAGACAGTTTTCACTTGATTACATAATAAATACCAAAATATACAGAAATCCAGATGAGGGTTTGACCGATTCCACTGCTTTCATTATCAGTCTGCAGGCAAACATCTTATTGACATGTTTGAATTCATCATGTTTGGTGAAAGCAAATAATTTTATGCCTGAAGAAATAAATAAAATAAAACTGCAGTTTCAGTCTGTGATTTCTACCACTAGTCAGAAACCTCAGAAATTTCTGTCTGCTTCAGAAAGCTCAGCTTATAATTGTCCATATGATGACAAAAGACTCAACTCAAAAGATGCTAGAGCCATGTTCGGGCTATGAGGCTCAAACAATTTTGGACTAGACTTCAGTTAGGAAAGTAATATAAGTGTAATGTTATGACTCCCCACCTCATGTTGTAGCTAGAGGTCCCCAACTCCGTTCCCAGGCCTGACAGTGATCCGTCAAAGTCAGCAGCAAGTCCCCCGTCGATGTCCCAGGAGCTGAGGCTGGTGGTGTTGGTGGTGCTGGTGGTGGAGTGGGAGCTGGTGTGGGACGTCTTGGTCCTCTTTCCAGCCCCCGCCCCGGTCTCGTCATTCCAGGTGAAGGACAGCGCATGGGGTGTCCTGGAACAGACAGACATACATACATGGGGTGTCCTGGAACAGACAGACATACATACATGAGGTGTCCTGGAACAGACAGACAGACAGACAGACAGACATACATGGGGTGTCCTGGAACAGACAGACAGACAAACAGACATACATGGGGTGTCCTGGAACAGACAGACAGACAGACATACATGGGGTGTCCTGGAACAGACATACATACATGAGGTGTCCTGGAACAGACAGACATACATGAGGTGTCCGAGAACAGACAGACATACATGAGGTGTCCTGGAACAGACAGACATACATGAGGTGTCCTGGAACAGACAGACATACATGGGGTGTCCTGGAACAGACAGACACACATGAGGTGTCCGAGAACAGACAGACATACATACATGAGGTGTCCTGGAACAGACAGACAGACATACATGGGGTGTCCTGGAACAGACAGACATACATGCGGTGTCCTGTAACAGACAGACAGACATACATGAGGTGTCCGAGAACAGACAGACATACATACATGAGGTGTCCTGGAACAGACAGACATACATACATGGGGTGTACTGGAACAGACAGACAGACATACATGGGGTGTCCTGGAACAGACAGACATACATGCGGTGTCCTGGAACAGACAGACATACATGGGGTGTCCTGTAACAGACAGACAGACACACATGAGGTGTCCGAGAACAGACAGACATACATACATGAGGTGTCCTGGAACAGACAGACAGACATACATGGGGTGTCCTGGAACAGACAGACATACATACATGGGGTGTCCTGGAACAGACAGACAGACATACATGGGGTGTCCTGGAACAGACAGACATACATACATGGGGTGTCCTGGAACAGACAGACAGACATACATGAGGTGTCCTGGAACAGACAGACAGACATGAGGTGTCCTTGAACAGACAGACATACATGAGGTGCCCGAGAACAGACAGACATACATACATGAGGTGTCCTGGAACAGACAGACATACATACATGGGGTGTCCTGGAACAGACAGACAGACATACATGGGGTGTCCTGGAACAGACAGACATACATACATGAGGTGTCCTGGAACAGACAGACATACATACATGAGGTGTCCTGGAACAGACAGACATACATACATGGGGTGTCCTGGAACAGACAGACATACATACATGAGGTGTCCTGGAACAGACAGACATACATACATGAGGTGTCCTGGAACAGACAGACATACATACATGGGGTGTCCTGGAACAGACAGACATACATACATGGGGTGTCCTGGAACAGACAGACAGACATACATGAGGTGTCCTGGAACAGACAGACAGACATACATACATGAGGTGTCCGAGAAAAGACAGACATACATACATGGGGTGTCCTGGAAAAGACAGACATACATACATGAGGTGTCCTGGAACAGACAGACAAACATACATGGGGTGTCCTGGAACAGACAGACATACATACATGAGGTGTCCTGGAACAGACAGACATACATACATGGGGTGTCCTGGAACAGACAGACATACATACATGGGGTGTCCTGGAACAGACAGACATACATGAGGTGTCCTTGAACAGACAGACATACATACATGGGGTGTACTGGAACAGACAGACATACATGAGGTGTCCTGGAACAGACAGACAGACATGAGGTGTCCTTGAACAGACAGACATACATGAGGTGTCCGAGAACAGACAGACATACATACATGAGGTGTCCTGGAACAGACAGACATACATACATGGGGTGTCCTGGAAGAGACAGACAGACATACATGGGGTGTCCTGGAACAGACAGACATACATACATGAGGTGTCCTGGAACAGACAGACATACATACATGAGGTGTCCTGGAACAGACAGACATACATACATGGGGTGTCCTGGAACAGACACACATACATACATGGGGTGTCCTGGAACAGACAGACAGACAGACATACATGAGGTGTCCTGGAACAGACAGACAGACATACATACATGAGGTGTCCGAGAACAGACAGACATACATACATGGGGTGTCCTGGAACAGACAGACATACATACATGAGGTGTCCTGGAACAGACAGACATACATACATGAGGTGTCCGAGAACAGACAGACATACATACATGGGGTGTCCTGGAACAGACAGACATACATACATGAGGTGTCCTGGAACAGACAGACAGACATACATGGGGTGTCCTGGAACAGACAGACATACATACATGAGGTGTCCTGGAACAGACAGACAGACATACATGGGGTGTCCTGGAACAGACACACATACATACATGGGGTGTCCTGGAACAGACAGACAGACAGACATACATGAGGTGTCCTGGAACAGACAGACAGACATACATACATGAGGTGTCCGAGAACAGACAGACATACATACATGGGGTGTCCTGGAACAGACAGACATACATACATGAGGTGTCCTGGAACAGACAGACATACATACATGAGGTGTCCGAGAACAGACAGACATACATACATGGGGTGTCCTGGAACAGACAGACATACATACATGAGGTGTCCTGGAACAGACAGACAGACATACATGGGGTGTCCTGGAACAGACAGACATACATACATGAGGTGTCCTGGAACAGACAGACAGACATACATGGGGTGTCCTGGAACAGACAGACATACATACATGGGGTGTCCTGGAACAGACAGACATACATACATGAGGTGTCCTGGAACAGACAGACATACATACATGAGGTGTCCGAGAACAGACAGACATACATACATGGGGTGTCCTGGAACAGACAGACATACATACATGAGGTGTCCTGGAACAGACAGACATACATACATGGGGTGTCCTGGAACAGACAGACATACATACATGAGGTGTCCTGGAACAGACAGACAGACATACATACATGAGGTGTCCTGGAACAGACAGACATACATACATACATGAGGTGTCCTGGAACAGACAGACAGACATACATGGGGTGTCCTGGAACAGACAGACATACATACATGAGGTGTCCTGGAACAGACAGACATACATACATGAGGTGTCCTGGAACAGACAGACATACATACATGGGGTGTCCTGGAACAGACAGACAGACATACATGGGGTGTCCTGGAACAGACAGACAGACATACATGGGGTGTCCTGGAACAGACAGACATACATACATGGGGTGTCCTGGAACAGACAGACATACATACATGGGGTGTACTGGAACAGACAGACATACATACATGGGGTGTCCTGGAACAGACAGACATACATACATGGGGTGTCCTGGAACAGACAGACATACATACATGGGGTGTCCTGGAACAGACAGACATACATACATGGGGTGTCCTGGAACAGACATACATACATGGGGTGTCCTGGAACAGACAGACACACATGAGGTGTCCTTGAACAGACAGACACACATGAGGTGTCCGAGAACAGACAGACATACATACATGAGGTGTCCTGGAACAGACAGACATACATACATGGGGTGTCCTGGAACAGACAGACATACATGAGGTGTCCTTGAACAGACAGACATACATGGGGTGTCTGGAACAGACATACACAGGTACCTGGGTGTCCAGGAACAAACAGACGTATGTACAGGTTCTCCTTTAACCCAGGTAAGTCAGAGTCACACTGCCACAGTTAACTCCGATTTGGATCCAGGCTATAGCAGCACTTACAGTTTCCAGGGACATGCTGAATACATGCACCGTGAACCTCACCACGAATGTCAAACAACAACAGACACATCACTTCAGCGTCATTCTCACCAGTTGAGACGGTGCTTCATACTCCAGGGGGCAGACCCCCACAGGAGCCCCTCCATTCCCGAGTAACACGGCTCCATGCAGCTCCACACAAGCCAAGCAGCTCCACATGGGTGGCTTGGCATTGTAAACCAAGGCCCAGGGTCACTGAGACCGACTCATGATAGAGAGGGCACCTGCTCATACATTAATGTACACCGAGACAGATCACCTTGGATTACTGTAATGCCTTCTGGTCACACACAAACGTTGGAGCATTTCTATACTTAGAATGTTGGAAGCATCAGTGCTCGAGATAAGCTGCATATTTGCATAAAATAATATTTATTAAATAAACAAATCAAAACCTAGCGTATCAAATACGCAAGAAAAACTATAAATACGCTATTGAAATAAAATTAATGTGTATACTACAACTGTTATATAAAATGATTGTGTATCAACCAATATTCAATAAAGCTTGTGCAAGAAACATACTGATCGATGGCAATTGAAAAGCACATCGCACAATGTACATGATGTAAAGTTGTATATTAAACAGTCGCTGATTGGTGATTAAAGATATAGTGCCATTTTTACAATGCTTGGTTTTACAAACAAAAACGCAGACGCAGACGGAATTACTTCTATTCATATAGTTCGAAATGATTGACAGGGATTGTTACGAAACAGGTTTACAAGTTAAAAATACCCAAATGTCAAGAAACAGGTGGGTAAATAGTTTTTGAATACCCTCTAAAACTTGTGAATACCCAATCAAAATCAAACCCCTGGGTAAAATACCCAATAAGCAAAAGCTTATCTAGAGCTCTGATGCATTACAATGAAATCATTACCTCCTCTCCCACATAACTGTTAACTGTTTGGATGTTACTGTGGGCGAGTAGTGGGATGATGCACCTATCTATCAACAGATCGCGATATTTTACTCCTCAATACAAGTATTGATCACAGTCACACACAAAGCAATAAATATTGATTCTCGCCTTAACTGTCTGCTTAAATATCTGTTACGCCAAACACTAATTACCGTATTCAACGTAATAAGCGCCCACGGCGTTAATTGCTGATATATTTGCTATTGAACAATCTCAATTAGCACCCCTCCCGATTGATCAATGTATTCAAGATTTATTTATTTGCGTATAATATGCACTTGTGTGTTATATGCACACTTAATTATGGGCAATTAAATTCTGGAAAAATATATCTGTCGTATATAACATTTCAGGCTGTCAGCATAAACCACAAAATTTATCTTTCAACTAATTTTGAGAGCGCTCTGGGCGCTTATTACGTCTTAAACGGGAATAGTGCACATTAGTGGTAAAACGTAATATTTTCATCCATTGCGTCATACTAGACACTGCCAACTGTAAAACGTCAGTGTGCAAGGTATTTGGTCATCCTGTCTATGAAAAAGATGGCTTCCACACCACAGATAAGAGTGAATGAGTATGGTTTTACGCCGCTTTAAGCAATATTCCAGCAATATCATGGCGGGGGACACCAGAAATGGGCTTCTCACATTGTACCCATGTGGGGAATCGAACCCAGGTCTTCAGCGCACAGATAAGAGCACATGCATGTATCGTGATACGTATCGGATTGTAGTCAAGGTATCATCATATGTATCAGATCGCACAGAATGTGGGCTAGTGCAAATTTCACCATTGTTTTAAAATTACATAATTTCTCACCTAGGGTAGTAAAGCTTATGAGTTGTTGTTCTAACCCTGACAACATGGTAGCCTGTAAAATATCAAGTCTTGGCAAGACAAGCCAGTGGTTGATGTTATGAGCATACCAAGCTGTTGTGTACAAAACATCGAAGTCATTAGTTTGACCACCAAATCCATCATAGTTGCCCCCTACAAGCTTGGTTTGTTTGTTGTTCAATGCCGCACTCAGCAATATTCTAGCTATAGGACGGGGGTCTGTAAATAATTGGACCACGATGACATACATCAACCAAGTCAGTGAACCTGACCACCCGATCCTGTTAGTCGCCTCTTACGACATGCATAATTGCCTTTTACGGCAAACGTGGGTTGCTGAAGACCTATTCTACCCCGGATGTTTTCAATTTGACAGATGGTTTGTTAAGTTGTGGGAATTTGACCAATAGAAATGCTAAGCAAGGTGTCACATGTTTCGTAATTTATGATTAAAAAGTAAATAGTAAGGATTATTCCTACTTACAGTATCGATTTTAATGACCAATAAAATGCTCTCAATGTCTCATAAAGTTTTGTGTCATTCTGAGAATTCACAGTACACATGTTGTCCTCTTTTCAATCAGATTTTTCAGCGTTATGCCTTTCATGGCTCTATGTTTGTTCATAACACAATATTATCGTCGGATCATAGGTTATCAGACATCATATGTTTTCTATCACAAATACTTGCACTATAACGATGTCACACAGGAATTGCAAACATTCAGATGATGGCTTGTTCTAAGATAAAGTAGTCTTTTATAAGAGAGTGAGATGTTTTACAGTTGTTCATGTGATTAGCGAGAAAACTATGAATGTTTCTTTAAGGTCCGAACACAGGGATATACATGTTAGATGTTGTACGTCTTAAAGTTTGAAATGTTGGTTTGGGTTTTTTCAAAAAAAGGTAAGGAAGTACAATGTAAGTTTTTTTTCATGCTTCAACATGGGGAAAGGGTCAGACATTGCACCCTTGTGACAGTTGTCCTTGTGTCTGGGGGATGGGGGGTGAAGTTTATGGGTAGCCGGGTGCGTGGAAGCTATGACCGATATTTTAAATACTGATTTAACCTTAAAATTTTACTGCATGCGCCATTTTTGTGTACACAGCGTTTTGTGTCAAAATCACTGAATTTCCTAGTTTTTCACCTGTTTGACTTGTGGCAGACATTTTCCATATAAACTGATCAAAGTTCAATAGCTTATGAAGTAAATCTGGTGATAACTGGTATAAACAAACAGACATGCACAATCAGTAAGCAATAATAAAAAAAGTCAACCTCCCTGCAAAACTAAGTCAGGATGTTGATTTCACTAAACCATTTTTCAAAAGGTATAATGTTTACAAAAACATTTGTAAGGATATTTTTTTCCATGTAACACAAACACCTAAAAAAATTGTTTGAAATGATTGATGAATACAATGCACACTTCAAATAACTACTGTTTGTTTCAGTAAGCCATTGCAACTTTTGCATGTTTAAAAAAAGCAACTTTCGCCTCGCATGATAAAATTCTGCAGTGTACTGCAGTACGACTATTATTACCTATTCTGCAGTAGAACAAAGCAAAATTCTGCACACATTCTGCACAAAAAATAGTTTTCTGCAAGATAGGTACATTTCTGCACCAAGTAGGCATTTCTGCAGAATATTCCCGAAATACAGTGGGGAATGATCCATCCTTGAACAAAAAGTGGTATCCCCAAATCTTACAGTGTATTAAAAAATGCCATCAGCAAGGGAGTGTATTGCCATTGCAGAGCACACAAAATACACATCTTGACCAATCAGTATATACAATTAAACTAAAATCAAACATACTCGATTGCTTGTAATCCCAATTCACTAAAACCCTCCGAGGAGCTGCCCCAGCTGACTTCAGCACCTGTGTCACAGCTCCCATCCTGCTCCATTCTCACATTCAAGTTTCAACTGACAATAGCATAACCACTCATGACATTACAATCAGGCAGTGGGACAGTTTAATAACTATAACATCATAAACAGCAACACTTGTTGTGACATGAAAAGAATATTATCATGATTGAATATAGTTCAAAACCAGTTTTACTAGTTCAAGGTTTAACTTATAAATAGCTTCTAATATATTTGACGAAGTTGGCGGGGGGTATAGAAACGGGCTCCGTCCGTCCGTCCGTCCGTCCGTCACGTTTCGTTTCCGGAGCATAACTCATAAACCGTTCAATATTTTTTCATCAAACTTTGCAGGTCTGTCAGGTACATGCTGAACTGGTGCCTTTTGCTATTGAGAAATTTTTGAAATTTTTATTTTTTACGTTTCCATGGCAACAAGATGGACTTAGGTTTCAAACTCATCTTTTTTTTTACAATTTCCATGACAAGTTCCACCTTTGTTAAAAAAGGTTAGGGTTTGTTTAGATTTAATTATGTCATAAATTCTGCAACAGGGGCGGGGGATATAGCCACGTTAGTAGCAAACCCTTGTTACCCTTGTCTTTCACTTGTCTCATTGTGTGGTGATTTATGAGCAAATAAAGATGTTGTCCGTAAAACTACAAAATGGTGGCTGGTTGTTATTCTACCGAGATGTTCAAATTTAAAAAAAGTGTAACATACGAAGAGAAGATGTGAAACTTTGACTAGCAAGGTGGGTCATCCACTTTGCATTTCAGCAAGCCCTTTGTAATTTTAACCGGCTATGGGATGACGGGCCAGCAGGTCAATCAACCCCTGCTGTCTGCACAAGCTTCACTGTACAATTGGTCTGATCACAAAACTTTCAAACCATCTTGATTTCCAGATGATGCCTTCAATCAAGCAGGGTCAGAGCTGCAGATAAGCAGCGTATTTGCGTAAAATACCTCCCAAAAATATTCAAAACCCAATTACTTTCAATTAACTTGCGTGCAGAAACGCATGAATGAAATGAAAATGAATGAAAGTAAATACCCAATGAAGCTTTTCCAGCATGTGTAAAAATGAGCTCATTTCTGAAACACAATTACGAGCTAATATACTTTCCGAGTCAAGCATATATCATGATATATATGTACAACAGTTAAATACATCTAAAACATTATTTTATTTTTTTTAAATCTTAAAATGTTCATTAATTTGTGAAAAACCCATTAGAGTGATGAATAGATGAGTGAAAAAATATTGGTTACCCAATGAAAATTGTAATAACCCAATTAAAATCGAAATCAGAGGGTAAAAATTCAATTGTTCAAAAAGTTATCTGGAGCTCTGCAAGGTGTATGAATCCATCCAAGTAATCAGGTGTGACTGTGGTTTTTTAATTGTCTGAAAGATTCTGCTGACCCTTAAGCAATTTAAAAGTGGAATACAACATACTTTGACAACCATTTTCATTCTGCCAGAGCTAAAGGTAAGCTTTTGGTTATTTGGGTATTT